AGGATCCTGGGAACTACAGGCCAGTCAGCCTCACTTCAGTCCCTGGAAAAATCATGGAGCAGGTCCTCAAAGAATCAATCCAGAAGCACTTGCATGAGAGGAAAGTGATCAGGAACAGCCAGCATGGATTCACCAAGGGAAGGTCATGCCTGACTAATCTAATCGCCTTCTATGATGAGATTACTGGTTCTGTGGATGAAGGGAAAGCAGTGGATGTATTGTTTCTTGACTTTAGCAAAGCTTTTGACACGGTCTCCCACAGTATTCTTGTCAGCAAGTTAAGGAAGTATGGGCTGGATGAATGCACTACAAGGTGGGTAGAAAGCTGGCTAGATTGTCGGGCTCAACGGGTAGTTATCAATGGCTCCATGTCTAGTTGGCAGCCGGTATCAAGTGGAGTGCCCCAAGGGTCGGTCCTGGGGCCGGTTTTGTTCAATATCTTCATAAATGATCTGGAGGATGGTGTGGATTGCACTCTCAGCAAATTTGCGGATGATACTAAACTGGGAGGAGTGGTAGATACGCTGGAGGGGAGGGATAGGATACAGAAGGACCTAGACAAATTGGAGGATTGGGCCAAAAGAAATCTGATGAGGTTCAATAAGGATAAGTGCAGGGTCCTGCACTTAGGACGGAAGAACCCAATGCACAGCTACAGACTAGGGACCGAATGGCTAGGCAGCAGTTCTGCGGAAAAGGACCTAGGGGTGACAGTGGACGAGAAGCTGGATATGAGTCAGCAGTGTGCCCTTGTTGCCAAGAAGGCCAATGGCATTTTGGGATGTATAAGTAGGGGCATAGCGAGCAGATCGAGGGACGTGATCGTTCCCCTCTATTCGACATTGGTGAGGCCTCATCTGGAGTACTGTGTCCAGTTTTGGGCCCCACATTTCAAGAAGGATGTGGATAAATTGGAGAGAGTCCAGTGAAGGGCAACAAAAATGATTAGGGGTCTGGAACACATGAGTTATGAGGAGAGGCTGAGGGAGCTGGGATTGTTTAGCCTGCAGAAGAGAAGAATGAGGGGGGATTTGATAGCTGCTTTCAACTACCTGAAAGGGGGTTCCAAAGAGGATGGCTCTAGACTGTTCTCAATGGTATCAGATGACAGAACGAGGAGTAATGGTCTCAAGCTGCAGTGGGGGAGGTTTAGATTGGATATTAGGAAAAACTTTTTCACTAAGAGGGTGGTGAAACACTGGAATGCGTTACCTAGGGAGGTGGTAGAATCTCCTTCCTTAGAGGTTTTTAAGGTCAGGCTTGACAAAGCCCTGGCTGGGATGATTTAACTGGGAATTGGTCCTGCTTCGAGCAGGGGGTTGGACTAGATGACCTTCTGGGGTCCCTTCCAACCCTTATATTCTATGATTCTATGTAGCAAGACACGCAAATGCAGAGAACTCACTGCATATCCTGAAGAACCGGAAGTTGGGATTTTTCTCCCTTTGTCTCTAGGAAGTCTGAGACTTAGCCTAGTTGTTTTATCTTGGCTCAGAAGGGCTTTCCCGTCGCTCAAAGGATAATTCCCAAACAACCAACCTGTCTCCAAAATTAATTCAGTAAAGGTTGGATAGAGTGTATGACTGGATTAAAAAAAGCTTTGTTTCCTAGCAACATAAGAATTGCCATACTGGATCAGACCTGCAGTCCATCCTAGTCCCTTACTCCTTTCAGTTAGAGGTGATGACTGTGAAATCTATGATTAAATGTAAAATGCCTGTTTTAATTTGACTGCTCTCCAGAGTCATGAAATGAGTGTAGACTCTCACCGTTCTGTCTAGTGCAGGCTTTTTCATTTGTAGAACTTTGACAGTATAGCAGGAGGAGTATATCTTACTATATAGGTCAGGGGTGGGCAAACTTTTTGATCCGAGGGCCACATCTGGGTGGGGGAATTGCATGAGGGGTCATGAATGTAGGGCTGGGGCAGGGGCAGGGGGTTGGGGTGTAGGAGGGAGTGTGGTGTGCAGGAAGGGGCTCAGGGCAAGGGGTTGGGGCGGAGGAGGGATGTAGCGTGTACGAGGGGGCTCAGGGCAGGGGGTTGGGGTGCAGGAGGGGTCCGGGATGCGGCAGGGGATTGAGGTGCAGGAGATGTGTAGCTGGGGGCTCAGGGCAGGGGGTTGGGGTTCAGGGTGCAGGAGGGGTTTGGGGTGTGGGCTCCGGCCGAGTGCGGCACTGCTTACCTTGAGCGGCTCCAGGGTGGCAGCGGCATGCAGTGGGGCTTAGGCAGGCTCCCTGGCCCTGCGCCCCTCTCAGAAGCAGACAGCACCATGTCCCTGCAGCCCCTTGGGGGAGGACGGGGGGCAGAGGCCTCCATGTGCTCCCCTCGACTGCAGTTCACTACCCCGAAGCTCCCATTGGCTGCAGTTCCCTGTTCCCGGCCAATGGAAGTGGCGCGGGCCCTGCAGCACCATGGGGGTGGCAATCCCGCAGGCTGGATCCAAAGCCCTGATGGGCCATAGTTTGCCTACCCCTGATATAGGTGGTTTGCACTCTATATTTGGAGCATAAGAAAGCAAAGAAAAACAGGGTCTTTAGGAAACTTCTAAGACCGCACAAGCCTTGACTGTTCACAAGTCTGTACACGTTAGAGACAATTTCTGGAGGAATACCTATAACAAGGACACTTTCTCTAAAAGCGTTAACAGAATGTTTTGTAAAGATCTGAAAAACTGCTGTAACCTCTTTCTCAAAACTCTGAAGTGGTCTAAGCCAGTGGTCCCCCAACTTTTTCTGTTGTCCTTGCCCCTTACCAGTGTTCCCTCTAATTTTTTAGGTCCATGTGTGGAATGAATTTTGTTATGTGCACCAATATGGAGGTGATGTGTGGTGGGGGTGGGGCCAAGGGGTTGGGAGTGTGTGTGGGGGGGTCAGGGCTGAGGGAGAGGGTTCTAATGCAGGGGGCGGGGTGAAGGCTCTGGCTGGGGGTGCAAGCTCTGGGGTGGGGCTGGGGATGAGGGGTTTGGGATGTAGGCCCCCTGGGGCTGCGGCAGGGAGAGAGGACTCCCCCGAAGCCCTTTCTTGCCACAGCAACTTGAAGCCAGGTGATAGGCACCTCTCCGCAGCCACAGCAGCTCTGGTGGGGCTGTGCTTGGCAGGGCCAGGGGAGGGGCTCCTCTCCCCACCTGCGCGGCCCTTTATAGCCAGCTGTGCAGCTTAGAGGGAACTTAGCCCCTTGCCCGCAATGGAACTTGTCTGTGCCCTCCACCCAGAGCTGCAGTCGGGAGCCACTGAGAGCGGGGGCTGGGCGCATGATATCCTGAAACGATACAGTGCCTGTTTTTTCAGAAGTACTGAGGGCCCATAGCACTGACGTCAGCAAGAGCTGCAGGTGCTCAGCATTTCTGAAAATCAGGCCCTTAATGTCTCCATTTAAAACTCTTGCTAAAGTATTTAAGATTATGGATTCCTACAGGGAAATGTCTCCTACATTCCATTATCTCTAACAGAACCAGGAAGCTAACTTGTTTCCTCTTGCTCAACTTTAGTAGTATGTCACAAGTTTCTGTGAAAGACATGCCCTAGTTTTCTAATATATGCCATGCCAAGATAGGAATTAAGAAGTGTTTTCTCAATAAACTTTTCCAAAGAGGTTTTTTTCTCAAAATGCACAGAGCTGTCAGCTCTGTCTTGTTAGATCAAAGAAATTTACGAACTGAGAACACTGACGTACTTGTAAGGAATGTATTGGTCCTTCGTGTGTCAAAGAATGTTTTATGGAAGCTAAGTGTGGTAGGTCTTATTTGTCTTTTTTACAAAACACACTACATAGTCGTTTTCACTTCCTAGACAGAAAAGATTGACTTCTGTGCAACTTGATATGGTCAGTCAAGAGCATCTTCATCCCTTATAAAAGTCATGCTAGTCTTGGGGCACAGTGTTTTCCCCTTAGCTCAGAGTGTTGACAGTTTCCAACATCATTCATTTTATTATGCAGAAAAAAAATGATTTAAAGAAAACTCACAATGAAACTTGCAGATATCCTACCAACAAGCAAGTGATTTGTAACCCCCAGTTACATTTAATGTATTTACCATTATAGTATCTATTAATTTGAAAATACTGTCACTTCCTATATCCAGATATAGTCTCTGTGAGACTTTGGAGTTAGTTACTGCCATGCTGCAGAAAGCCCTGTAAACAGCTAATGAGGGAAACCAAGTCAGAGGATATGATGGTGCTACCTGTTGATCTTCTCAGTGATTTGGCTCTACCATCAGATGCTGCAGCTTTCACTGGTAAACAACATGCTGATTTAAACCTAGGAAGGTGAACACAGCTCTCTAGAGTGCAGGAGCATATAATGTTAGAGCCAAACTGGGATTGTGGTGTAGTAGGTCCTTAGCAGGTAATATTGTTTTCTTCTGTAAGTTGTTTATAAACTCCATGCACAGTTTTGGTGCTTTATGTATAATTAAAAAAATAGTGTATCAAAGGCATGAACATTTGGTTGGTGATATAATCGCGGGAGAATTAACTACTTTATTCTGAAAACAATTAATGGAAAACTTTTTTCTTTCATTTTTAAAGTAGCATGAACAGTTTAGCTGTTATGCAGAGGAAGGCTTAAGGGGTCAATCAGTCATTAGAGAATGGATCGACTTCTGAAGTTGCTATATTTGGATTTGCAAGGAAAAGATGGAATGCATAATTTAGACTACTCATAAAGCAGTGCTATTGTGAGAAGAATATGGTTGGATTCTCATGGTACTTGTGAGTGGGACAGAGGAATTGTGTGCCCGTCTTTTCTATTGACTCTAGAGAATTCTACTGTTACTGGAGTGGGACTGGAAATAAGGAATTTGGATGAAACTCATGATTTACATGTTGGCAAAAAACTCTTAAATTTACAAGATATTTTAAATGTGTAGTGCTTTAGCTGAAACAATATTTTGAATACATACTAACCATTTGCTAAGACTTCATTGTTTATAATTTAGGAATGTGATCAGAGATATAATTATTCTTTTTCCCCTTTACTTTCTCTATTAAATTTACAGGAGCCTTGCTCAGCTGTCATGGGCTATGGGAAAAAAATTGACAAATCTATAAGAAAAGGTCTGTATTGGCTGCTACATACTATAGCAAAAGATTTTGATGCCTTAAATGAGCGCGTACAAAAAGACACAACAGAGCAAAAAGCATATGAGGAACAAGAGAAGCGAGAAAGAGCTGAACGAGTAAGGAAGATACGAGAAGAAAGGTATTCTACCTTCCTTGGCTTTCTTTCCTCCACATGAAGGGGTTCCATGAATAAAACCGTCATGTTAACGATTCGTTGTGGAGAATTCTCTGAAAACATCCACTCAGTGTTCAGCAGCAGTCAAAAAAGTTAACAGAACGTTGGGAATCATTAAGAAAGAGAGAGATAATAAGACAGAAAATATCATCTTGCCTCTATATAAATCCATGGTTCGATTACATCTTGAATACTGCATGCAGATGTGGTTGCCCCATCTCAAAAAAGATATATTGTAATTGGAAAGGGTTCAGAAAAGGGCAACAAAAATAAGGGGTATGGAACAGCTGCCATATGAGGAGAGAGTAATAAGACTGGGACTTTTTAGCTTGGAAAAGAGATGACTAAGGGGGGATGTGCTGGAGGTCTATAAAATCATGACTGGTGTGGAGAAAGTAAATAAGGAAGTGTTGTTTACTCCTCATAACACAAGAACTAGGGGCCACCATATGAAATTAATAGGCAGCAGGTTTAAAACAAACAAAAGGAAGTAATTCTTCACACAACGCATAGTCAACCTGTCAAACTCCTTGCCAGAGGGTGTTGTGAAGGCCAAGACTGTAACGGTTCAAAAAAGAACTAGAGAAGTTCATGGAGGATAGGTCCATCAATGGCTATTAGCCAGGATGGGCAGGGATGGTGAGTCATCCTCCCAGCTGTAGACTTTGTTATTTCTGACAGCAGTTGGGGGTTTAGATTTAACAGTTATCATGGAACTTTCATTTGGCTATTTGCATCAGATAAATCTCTTGTCATGAGATATTTGTATGTATTAATAACTCAGGTGGAATTCTGTTTCAATCTATACTTTAATAACTTCCCAGATTGGTTACTGCAATTCCATTCAGACAGGTCTCCCCAAGAGTTCCCTCTAAGTGCAGTTACTTCAGAATGCATCAGCCAGAGAATTTATTCACATCAGTTTTAATCAGCACTACACCTGTTCCCAGGCATTGCCTTGGGTGTGCGCTGTTCAAGTGATTATAAATTTAAGTAAACAAACAACCAAAGTTCTCATGCAAGGCTTTAATTAGCCAGTTAGAATTACCCATAAAGGACTTCTGTGAAATGTAGTGCTGTAGTACCAATGCTGAGCTATCAGCAGTCCCCCATTTACCTTAGTATTAATCCAAGGAAAAGCCGTGCTAGATAAATTGCAAGGATTTAATGTAGTACAGGCCCTTTCTACCAGGCAGCTGCTCTAAATACAGATAACACCCCAATGTACTGGCCAATACTTCATTCTTCCTGAACTCATGTCAAAGCCCAGGTGAAACAAGTGGGCTCTGTAGAAAGGATGCAGTGAAAATGGACAAATATGGGCTAAAGCACAGCGGGGATCAGAGGACATTCCAGAGCCATTATTCAGAACATCCTGCTAGCAGCCCTGTCTGTAGCTTGTAGAGGGGGAATCAGCCTGTAGCTCTGCTGATCATAACTGTGGCAGCATGTTGTGAGGAGGGAGGCAGTTTCAGGTAGCCTGGTCCCAGGCCATTTAGAGCTAAATAATTGATTTTATGGAGTTAGTTTTCAATCTTTCTTTTTTTAGGTTAGCTTAAAACTCCATCAGTTTGGAGTACAGTATTCAAAACACAAAGACATACTGTAAAAAAAACAATCTAGCATGAGTTGGGGGATGAATTAGATGACCTAATAAGTGTTCTAATATTTCTGATTCTATTGCTTCAAGATTCTTCTGTTTTTTAACCAAAAAAATAGAGAACAAAGGGAGAGAAAAGAAACTGAATGTGAAGGAAGAAATGTACCTAAGGAGGTTGACTCTGAGCCAATTTCTAGCAACCCCTTCCAGCCAATATCTACTGTAATCACTGAGGTAGGAATATTTAGAAATGTCAATCATATTGGACCTACAGTTAACAGAGGTATCTGAGCAATTATACAAATCTGGGCTCTTGAGAGTTTTGTTCATCTATAAAGTTGCATACACATTGTGATAGCTTTCATCATGAGAATCTTGGTTTCTTTTGAGTGTTTGTTCTTGTCCATTCCATGTTACCTGTGTAACATGCCACATGCACTGTTGCTGGAGATTTTACCCTCAGTGGTATCTGTCAGGCCGGCTCTAGCACCCTCTGCAGCTGCGTGCTTATGTGTCGCTATAAGGGGCACTGCCAGCCACGTACCCTCTCATTTACTTCTTACCGCCCATGACGGTTGCTGGAACGACCCCACTTGCTCTGGCAAGGCTTTCTTGTCAGTGGTTTTTGGACTCTAACTTCATTCTTAGTTATCATAGTTCAGTGTATATAGTTTTTGTAATTAGTGTTAGTGTACATAGTGTAAATATGTAGTTCCTGGGACTCCTTCACCCCAAGGCCTGGGCATGCCCTGGTGCCCAGGCTTCAAGCCTTGTACCTTCTGTGGCAAACCTGTGCCTGTGAGTGACCCACGCTCCAGCTGCTTGAAGTGCTTGCAGGAGACTCACTTGAAAGACAAGTGCCAGATGTGTCAGAACTTCAGATCCTGCACTAAAAAAGACAGGGACATTAGGCTGACAGCTATCCAAATGGAAGCCGCCCTCATGGATTCAGCACCAAGCACACTGGCGTCAGCGTGAAGCACTCTGGCACTGAGCTCTTCCCAGGACCATTCACCATCTCCAGTGCCAAGGAAGAAGCAGAAAAGGCAATTCACCGACAGAAAGTGCTCACTGGTGCAGAAAAAAGGCAAGCGGAGGAAGGCAGCACAGTGAGACCCATGCCAGGCTACTCTTCCTCTCCTGGTCCTGTGATGGCACCGTCGACTCCACGTAAAGCATTAAGTCCAGTGTGGGACCCTCCTCTGACACCTGGAAGCCACTGTGGTACCAGTGGTCTGACCGATCCATAGACCCTGGGGGCTTTTCAATGGGACATCTGTCAGTTCCAGTGACCGGAAGTAGGAGGGAACAAGGAGCGTCAGGATTCTTCCCGGCACTTGGCCCCCTGGCACCCTCTAAGGAAAAGCCATCCCTGATCCCGGTGTCAAGATGACCTTATGTGCAACCTAAAGCCCTTCACCAGTACCCAGCCTATCTGCCACTGGACTTCAGTTCCAGTCCCCCTGCCAGCACCTGACCAATGGGCCACTGGCCTATGCCATAGCCTTACTGGAATCCCTGAGGGTTTTCCCCAGTACCAGGTCCTACCTCCCATCGCTCCTACTTGGTGGTTTCCAAGAGATGGGCTACTGCTCCTTCCCACTTGGCACCAGACCCCGACTGCGATACTGACCCCGATACCAATGTTCAGGAGTTGACTCAGGTGAACATACTTGAGGAAGAGGAAGGAGCCCCTCTGATGCAAGCTACCTCCTCATCCTCCCCAGGCGAGGCTGTCCCGGGACCCAGTAGCCTGCTTCCATAGGATGACTTCAGGGCCCATCAGACCTTCTGAATCAGGTGGCTGTGGACCTGGGTCTCGAAATTTGAGTAGCTCAGAGGCATCACACAGCCTTATTGATATCCTGGTGGCAGCAGCTCCCTCCAAAGTGGCCTTACCCATCAATGAGGCAGTAATGGGACCAGTCAAGTCCCTGTGGCAAGCTCCTTCTCTGTCCCCCACCTCAGAGAGGGCAGAGAAGAAGTATTATACCCATGGTTCAAATACATGTACTCACACCCTTTCCTCCTCAGGGTCCCTGGTGGTGCCTGCAGCAAATAGGGACAGGCAGGGCCAGTCGAGTGCAACCCCCAAACAAAAGGACGCTAAGAGACTGGACCTTTCTGGAAGAAAGGTTTATTCAACGGGTACCCTTCAACTGCATCTCTCCAACCAGCAAGCTTTGATGGAGAAATACTATTATAATCTATCAGACTCCTTGGCTAGTTTTAGGATTCCTTACCCCAAGATTCAAGGCAGGAGTTTGCTGCCCTCATGGAGCAGAGTAGGAATGTGGCCAGGACCTCTCTCCTGGAGGGTCTGGATGCTGCCGACTCAGCAGCTAGGATAATGGCCTTCACTGTCACCATGAGGCGTTATTCTTGGCTCCAGTCCTCCGGGCTTCCTCACAGGGTCCAACGGTCCATCCAGAGCCTCCCCTTTGAAGACTCCTCTCTTTTCTCGGAGCAGACAGACGCGAGACTTCATGGCCTAAAGGACTCGAGAGCCACCCCATGGTCTTTAGGCGTTTACACTCCATCAGCTTCTACAAGAGTAAAGGGAGAGGTTATAAATGGCACCAACCACTCCCGTCGGGCTCTCAGAGGTACTCTGGGGGGCCTAAGAAGGCTTTTTAAAGGTGTGTCAGAGGGCACTGTGCCAGTCACCATTTCGGATCTGACTCCCCTTTTTGTTTTGGACTGTCTGTCCCTATTCAGCCCAGCATGGTCATACATAACATCAACCCATTGGGTCCCAAGTACAGGGACAGTCAGGTATACCCGTGAGTTTTTATCCACCTCTCCCTCCCATCGCTCTTCAGGCACCCATCTCATGAGCAACTCCTCGTCCAGGAGGTTCAATCTGTCCTACGGATGGGGGTTGTGGAGGAGGTTCCACAAGACTTGAGAGGGAGGGGGTTTTATTCCTGGTATTTTCTAATCCCAAAGGAGGCCTCTGGCCCATCTTGGACCTGCATCACCTCAACAGAAACTGAGGTTCCGCATGGTCTCCCTGGCTTCCATCATTCCCTCCCTGGATCCAGGAGACTGGTTCGCCACCCTCGACTTAAAGGATGCATACTTTAACATTTCTGTCGTCTTTGGCCACAGAAGATTTCTTAGTTTTATAGTTGGTCAATACCATTACCAATTCACTGCTGTTCGCTTTGGCCTATTGGCAGCCCCCCGAGTTTTCACAAAATGTATGGCGATAGTAGCAGCCTTCGTCAGACGGTGAGGTGTCCAGCTCTACTCGTACCTTGACTGGCTGATCACAGGTTGGTAGCAGGCTTAAGTACAGAACAGTATCAGCATGGTCCGAGCCACCTTCCGATCGCTGGGTCTGTTGATAAACGAGCAGAAGTCACTCTTTTCTCAGTTCAGAGAATAACATTTATTGGGGCGGTGCTCGACTCAACCTAAGCCAGAGCCTTTCTGCTGGAGGCCTGATTCAAGCCCATGTCAGACCTGATATCCAGTGTCAAGGTCCACCCAATCACGACAGCTCAGGTTTGCTTCAAGCTATTGAGGCACATGGCAGCATATACTTCAATCTCGGATGTGTCAGACTTAGAGTGGGGAGTCGAACTCAGAACTCAGGGCCTCTGGTCCCAAGAGGAACTCTCCCTGCACATAAATGTCAGGGAGCTCAGGGCAGTACGCTTAGCATGCCAAGTGTTCCTTCCCCAGATCTCAGGCGAGGTGGTGCAAGTTCTGAGAGACAATACTGTGGCCATGTTTTACATCAACAAGCAGGGTGGGGCTTGATCTCTGGCCCCGTGTCAGGAAGCCATCCATCTGTGGGACTTCTGTGCAAAGCACTCCATTCATCTTGAGGTGTCCCATTTCACAGGAGCGCAGAATGTATTGGCTGATAAGCTCAGCAGTTCCCTTTTCTCTCACCACGAGTGTTCCTTTCACCTTTGGTCATCAGGTTCATCTTCCAAAGGGGGGGGGGCCTCCCCAGGTGGACCTGGTTACTACCAGGCAGAACAGGAAGTGCCATCAGTTTTGTTTGCTGCGCAGGCACAGCCCAGTCTCCCTCTCCAATGCTTTCCTCCACCCATGGACAGATCTCCTATTCTATGCCTTTCCCCCGATCCCCTTGGTTCACAAGGTCCTCCTAAAAATCAAACGGGACAAGGTGAGAGTTATTCTGATAGCCCTGGCATGGCCATATCAACACTAGTTTGGCATGCTCTTGGAGAGCGGCAACCCCACTCTCTCTCACTCCCACTCGATCCAGACCTAATTTCACAAGACCGTAGCTGGTTGCTTCCCCAAACCTCGTCTCCTTGCACCCAACTGCGTGGATGCTGCATGGCTGAACCCAGAAGAACAGGCTTGCTCGGAACAGGTCCAGCAGATCTTTCTAGGTAGACAGGCTTCCACCAAGGCTACCTACCTGGGCAAGTAGAAGCATTTCCTGATTTGAGCTTCTCAATCCACTCTCTCTCCATCTCAATCTTCCCTCCAGTCTATCTTGGTCTGTTTCCTCCACTTAAAGCAGCAGGGCCTGGCTCTCATATCTATCAAGGTACTCTTAGCAGCCATCTCAGCATTCCACCCTCCAGTGAACAGCAGGTTAGTGTTTTGCCAGGCGATGACCATACGGTTTCTCAAGGGGCTGGAGAGGCTGTGTTCTCAGGTCCGTGAGCCGACCTCCCCATGGAACTTAAACCTGGTTCTGTCAAGACTCACAAGTCTCCCCTTTAAGCAGTTAGCATCGTGCCCCCTGCTGCTTCTCTCTTGGAAGGTTGCCTTCCTAGTGGTGATCACCTCAGCCAGAAGGGTCTCTGAAATCCAGGTCTTTATGTCAGAACTGCCTTACTATACTGTGTTCTTTAAGGTCCAACTGTGCCCCAATTTGGCTTTCCTACCAATGGTGGTGTCACAATTCTATAACAAGCAAGCCATTTTCCTACCAGTCTCTTCCAGAAATATCACAAGAACTCTGAGGAATGGCGGCTTCACTCGGACGTTAGGCTTGCCCTTGCTTTTTATATTGAGAAGGACAAAACCCTTCTGCAAGTCCACACAACTCTTTGTAGCAATAGCGGAAAGGATGAGAGGGCTTCCTGTGTCCAACTAGAGATCTTGTCCTGGATAACTGCCTGTATTTGGGCCTGCTATGAGCAGGCGAATGTCCTGCCTCCGTCCGTCCTTAACCGCTCACTCCACACAAGCCCAGGCTTCATCGGCAGCATGTCTCACGCAGGTCCAAATTCAGGACATCTACAGAGTCGCAACCTGGTGGTTGGTGCATACCTTCGCATCCCACTACAGCATTGCCCAAGGCAGTTACAGAAGAGTGTCCATGAACTCTGAGCCCACCTCCTGGGGTACTGCTTGGGAGTCATCTAACCTGGAATGGGCAAGAGCAACACATCTCAGAACAAGTTGCAAAAGGTTAGTAAGTGTTTTTTGTGTGCTGTGAAGTTGTATCAGTAATCTAACAATAAAGAAATATCTTAGTACCGGTTTAAGAAAAATGTTTTGTTTGCCATGCAGTTTACTGCAGAATTTTCAGAATAAACTGTTGCAGTGTTCAGAAGAAGCCATTTTCGGTTTCCCATTTAATTGGAATCAGCTTCATTCACTCTTTTTTTTTTTAAATTTTTGTTGCAAAAGGGGGTTTTTATTTTGGCTTTATGGGAGCTGTTTCAACCATGTGCCCCAGTCATATAGGGTCCATCCCTTACTTAACCATACAGACTTGCGGCATAATACAGTATTTTTGGTTGGTTTAGAGCTGTTGGAATTGTGTGTTAGTTATGAAATATGAAAACTGTATAAATAGTTTTCTTCAGACACATCCTTTTAATTCAAATAGTCATCAGATTCATATTTAGTGTACCATATTTTTCTTTGTTTTTTAATTTAAGATATTGTGCTTATAGAAAAAATAGTGAGCTCTGATAAATGTAAATAATCAAGGCTTGGTCCTACTCTCCAGTACAAGCATCCACACGATCATATCCTGTAAAGTCAGCTATGTGCACAATGACAGATTTCACAGGATCCTACAGTACTGCACATCTGTGGGGCGGGGGGAGAAGAAGAGTGCTACAAGTGCTGCAGAGCTGCTGATTATGTGAAACTTATAGAGCAGATACTCTATCAAGTCTGCATTACGTAATCAGTGTTCCACCAAGACAAAATGGTGATTTGCAAGGTATTTCAAAAGGTGTGTGTTTTTCAAAACAAAATAAACGAATAGAAATTGAAGTTAGTAAAAGTTTTTAATTCTCTGGCTTGGGGTATTGACGCTATTTGTACTTTTATCTTTTTCTCGCATGGCATTTAAAAAAAGTAAAAAGAATGAAAACACATTTTGGTCATGAAGCTGTATGCAGCCATTCCTCCCTAAACTGGTTACCGCTCAGAAATCTAAAATCACTTCTAGAGCTTTTAGTTGTTCATTTTTCCAGGTTAAATCTTGAGCAGCATCTTGTGAACCTTGGGGTTTTATTTCCTCTTTTGCACATTCTTGAAACTTGTTAATTATGCTACACATGAAAATTTTTTTTAAAAACGGTCTCTGTGTCTTACCCCCCTGTGTTTAGGATCCTATTCCTATCTTTTTAGAGCAGTCTCTGACACTAAATATTAAGATGATGTCTTGTATTACTTTTGCTAGAATGAAAAAAGAATTGAACAAGAGAAGAGGCAGAGGATGGAGATTGAAAAAGATGCCATTGCCTTGAAACCTAAAGCAGAGCAGGAACAAATGGATACACAGAGCCTGACCAGTAGCTGTAGCCAAAAAACAAATGATTATAGACTGATAGAAACATACAAATCTGCACTCGCACAGCAATTGGAGCATGAAGAAGAGGGTGACCAACAAACCTCAGAATGCCTTGATTCAGGTGATAACTCCAATTTGAATATAGCCACTTACTGTCTTAACTACCATTGTTATATTTAATTTGATTCTTATTTTTCACCCAACTCTTCCCTGTGTCTGTATGACTTTGTGCATGCCACAACACAAATAACTGAAAGATACAAATGCACAATTATGTTACTGTACAGAGGAATGTCATAATTCAACCAAGAATTAGTGTATTCATCAGTCTTATCCAGTTACAATCGACCCATTTTTACCAGTACCTTCAAATCCATACCACACCTTGCATTAATATCAATGAGTTGTACTCACCTATCTAAAGACAAACTTTGGATCTTACATGTACATACATGATTATTTACAGTAATAAGGTTTAAAAGTCAGTTGTGTGTGTTATATATCATGTCAGGACTGCTGTTCATTGCATACAGAATGAAAATACGTAGAGCGGTCCATCCCAATGCTTATAGTCATCAAAAGGACACATCTGTACAGTATAGTAGAGTTCATTCTTAACAGTAAATGTGTGGTCCATGAACTATTGTCTTTCCATTTGTTGTAGATACCAGTAAAAAGAAAACAAAGAAACTGAAGTTAAAAAGGAGTCACAGGGTGGAACCAGTCAATGCAGAGGAAGCTGTTCCCAAAAATCCGACCCCACCTCCACCTCTTCCACCAGGTGAGTTAAATACCTTGTGGTAATAAGTGTGCCAGTTCATGAAAGCTGGGCCCTTAAAAGACTTGGCTTTTTAAACATGCAGAGAAAAACCGTTTTCACCCAGGATTATGCCATCATAGTTTGATTAGTTTCTTTTGAGAATTGCCCATGTAGATCCCCACTTGTACGAGGCTGTTGAGCACTATCATTCTGTCAGTAGGCTTTGCCTAAGTCTCTCAACTCACAAGGGCAAGCTAACCTGCAGGGTATATTTGCTCAGTTCCTAGTTAGGGGTTGGGAAAATTGACCAGCATGGCTGTAGAAGAGTAATATATACTATGCTTCAATAATTCCCCATTTAGATGTAATTTATTTGGTATAACTACATATATCAATAATAACCCTTTATAAATTGTTAATATTACTTAAATGTAACGTGTGACCATTCTGATTTCTTGCTCGTCATATTGTGAGCTTCTTCAATAGGAACAGCTGGAGAAAACGCACAATCACTTGCTTTCCAGAAAGCCAAAAGAAGGCCCAGTGACATCCTTCCAAGAAAGCTCATAATGTGCTGAGTAGGAAAAATCTGATTATTAATATGTAAAGCTGCCAGTAGAAAACTTAATCTTTTGAACTCCTCACAGATCTTGGAAATCATGCACCTTGGTATAACTTGAACATTACTTCTATGACAGGAAAAAAAAAAACTGATGGTACCTACAGCAATTAACAGGCAGGTACAAAAATATTTCAGAGATGATTTAGATATCTTGTCTTACAAATGGCTAGTGTCCTGATTTTCAGGATGATCTGCTTCTCCTATCTGATTGAAGTACACTGTTCTTCCAGCTTTTAATTTGGGTAATTTTTTCAGTAACTACATCTATTGATGGAATCTCTTACAGTGTATGCAGTTAGTATTAGATTGAAAGTGTAAAACTGGGGAAACAGGGAAAGTGTTTTGTCTGTTGCATTAACAAAAGTTCAAGAAAATTCAGTAAGTGCAACTCTCTAAAATATTAAGATATTTTTCACTGCTGCTTTACATTGCATTTTAAATAATAATTTGTTTTCAGTGGATTCACTAATACACCATATATAAAGTATTCCTTCCCCCACCCCCTAATACTTTCTTGTCTCCTGAGGAGAAAGATTCCCCCTCCCTCCCAGCTTTTCTTCAGAGCCAAATATTTTGACAGAGTGGTACTTTTTTTAATGTGTTTGTTTTTCTTTAGTTGGCTGGGGAACCCCCAAAGTTAATAGACTTCGAAAACTTGAACCTCTTGGTGAAACCCGTCATACTGGTAATTTTTTTAAAAAAAGAGCACTATTCGTTGTTCTCTTATACATTCGTTCCATTCTTCACTTTTTTATTTCTTTAATACCTTCAACCAAAAACTAACCCTTTGCTTGTTAAAAGCATCTTTTAGATTTTAAGTTCTTTTTTTTTAATGTGTGTTCTCTTTATTTCCTTTTCCCCCAATAGGAGTTCAAAGCATGTTGTGTCATAAATCATTTGAGGATGTTTGTACAATAGCATACACCTACCTCTTATGATATACCATATAATACTGCAGTAACAGGGCCCATCCCTAAACATTTCAAAATCAAACACTTTTTTTTACTTCATAGTAGTCTAAAACTTTTTTAAAACTTAGAAGTAAATCAAGTATACATTTCAGTTTTCCATATGTATTGGCAACATCCTGAATGTGAGGAACTATAATTTGACAGTTCCAAAATATTTTAAAACAAAACTGCATTTAATTTAAAAAAAAAAAAAAAAAAAAAAGGTAACTTGTTATGGGCATCATCCATGTGTACTGTGGCATAGATCTGGATACATTTTATTGCCAGAATGAAAATTAAAGGCATCTGTGCACCTTTGAATTAGATAGCTTACACTGTAATAGGAAAAGTCCCTGTAAACTGCAAATGCTGGGAGGATTAAGCTTAGTAACTTGTATTAAAATGTAGGAGATTCCTGGTTTTAACTTTTCCTCCTTGAGCTGAATTATTATTTCTCTTAATTCTAATAACAATTTAAGTATTTATTTAGGGCAGAAATAATTTCAGTATTCTTTGTTTGCATAAAACAGCTCCTTTTATGGCAGACCCTGCAGGAGATGTTTTCTATATTGTCTGGTATTACAGCCTGTTCCCAGTGCCATACAGAGGCTTTTATAGCGTACGTTATTTTTCTTGCATGTTAGTGTTTTTTCAAATTCTGATCAAATGGATATAAGTGAAATGAGATTTTAAAAGAAAAAATTTACTTTCTACAGGAGACACTGTTACGTGCAATAAAAGAAGTAATCTGTAGTTTATATTAATCAAATCTTATCATAAAACAATCTTACTCTTCTTTTAAGGAGTTTAAAGAGAAGAAAGAGAAAGAAAAGCCAGAAAAGAGGTAGGGAGGGGAGGGAAGGGAAGGGAAAGGGTCATATTCTTTGCTTACATCTGATTTGCTCATAAGTGAGACTTTCTGGTTTGTGGCTAGAGCACGGGACTGGAAATCAAGAGACCGAAGCTCTATTCCCAGCTCTGCCACTAGTTGTGTGTGACCTTTGACAAGTCACCTAACCTCTGTATTCCTCAGTTTTACCATCTGTAAAATTGTGATAATACTTTAAAAGCACTTTGAGATCCTTGAATGAAAGATGCTTTGAGAGGAACTCCTATTGACTGGAGGTATCCATTGAAGATTATGGGAGTTTGGATCTTAGCAAGGGCAAAAACATTGTTTACCCTTGTTCTCAGGGATTTATTTAACTAGTGCAAAATTTTCCCAGTAACTAGCTCTGTGAAACAACTTCTTAAATCCTAGAGCAATGAAATCCATTTTGTTTTGTGATTTCAGGTCCTTTTGTCCCCAGCTATACATAATATTTGCTGAAGTTTAAAAATTGAAGTAGTTCTTCGAGTATGTTAGTGTGACTCCCACTTTAGGCATTCTGGTGCATGAGATCACATGGTTAACAGTGTCTGTTGGGGCTACCATGGTCCCTGTGCTGCCTCATGCTCCCATGCTAGGGCATAAAGGGCGGAACGGCTGTGACCGTCCTTCAGTTCCTTCTTTTTGCCTATGGCAGCAAGACGGAACCTGGTGAATGTTCAACCCACTTTTAAATCATTTCTTTTCAACCAACTTTGTGAACAAATCTTTACTTTCATGCTCCCGTCATTGAACATTTTTTTAAAAAGCTACCATCCAGCCCTCTCCTCTGTACTTTGCACTAACAAAGTACTCTCATGGCAGACTCCAAACCTTCACAGTTTAATCCCTTCCCAACCTGTGACGGATTCATCCCTGTTTTGATAGGTATAGTTGATGTCTATTCTGTCTGAGGGAGAACCATATTCCTAATAGGTGTTCAGTATCCAAATGCTTCTCCCCAGGGACTCTCAAGTCTAGGGAAGCTACACCTGACTGAAGCTACACCTACTTGAGTGATCCATGAGGCAGAGGAGATGACCACCTCCAAAGAGCAACTGAAAGAGTTATCATTAGGTAGTGCTCTGTTGAGCAGACACCATATCATACTCCTGGGGGAATTTTGCACCACTGCACATGCACAGAATTCATGTCCCCTGCAGATTTCTTTGCTTCCCTGCAGAAAAATGACTTTCTGATGGTGAAGCAAAGGGAAGCCACAAGAGTGGTCATGCAACCCTCTCCAGCAGTATGTTCTGGGTGCCCAGGGCAGCCAGCAGAATGGTAAATCACTGTGAGGCAGGAGGCTGGACTGGGAAAGACCTGGCTGGTGTCTCCTGCCCTGCGCTGGGCTCAGTTGGTAGTCCCAGCTGGGCTGGACAGAACTTCCTCTTCCCCTGAGCAGCATCCAGAGTTGGTCAGACCCACCCCTAGATTTCTCCCCAGGCTGCAGGAAGCTCTGCAACTGCCCCTGCTTCTTGCACCCGTCGCTCCTCAGCTGCAGGGGGAAGGATCACTGTCCAGAACCCCCCATGCTGAGCCCCACTCCCCCTGCACCTGGACCAACCTGCCAAGTCACCCGGACCCAGATCTCCACCCCACCGAGCCCCAGCTAGCTGCACCTGGATTCCCCACCTGTGAGCCCCACTCCCCACAGTATCTGAACCCCCACACTCAGACCCCCTGCCAAACTTTCTCCCCCACCCCCAGACACTCACTGAGCTCCAACCACCTTCACCTGGACTCCCCTGCAGAGTCGCATTACCCTTGCACCCAGAACCCCCCAACAAACCCCAGTGCATCCAGATCCCGTCCTGCACCCGGATCCACCTCTGAGCTGCCTGCACCCAGATTGCCCCATACTGAACCCTCTTCACCCACACCTGAATGCCCCTACACTAAGCCCTTCCACACTTTGATCCTGTCGGGCCGAGCCTGCCTGCCCACACCTCGCGCACCTGGGACAGAGGGGCAGGGCCTTGGGGTGGTTCTGAGGCAGGCCCGGTCCTTGTGCTGTGTCAGGGTTGGGTGCAGCCTTACTGCTGAGTCCATGGCCTGGGGGGAGAGGGAAGGGCAGTGGAAGAGCTGCAGAGTGATCGCCCATCTCGGTGCAGCCAGTGGCTTGTGCTCCTCAGTGCCATGCTGGAGCCTCCACGTTTATTTGACACATAAAATGTGTAGAAGTTTGCAGAATTTTAAAATATTGTATGCAGAATTTTTATTTTTTTGGCGCAGAATGCCCTCAGGAGTAATATCACAAAGTCCAGTAATGAAAGAATGGCAGGAAAGATGATGCCAAAATTGGCACTGGTTATGTTGACATTGACCAAGTCCTTCAGTACTGGTCACCACTGCATTGATGCCAGTGTTGACAACCCCATCTTTGGCAGCGGCGCCTCTGGCTCAGACAGTGTCATCATTGGAGCCAGCACTGGTGCACCAACAGAGCGGTGAGACCAAAAGAAAGTGGAGCTCAAACACAGCTCTGAGCATCAGGAGACACCATCCCATAGGGAGGAGAAGCATCTTCACTCCTCCAAGGTCAAAGAGTCTGAGGAAGGAGCAAAATGCAGTAAACTAGTATCAATGAAGGCACCAGCACCAACCACCCTGCCAATTACAAGCCCTATGTATGCTTTCTCAACTGTTGAGATCCCCTCTGGGAACATCATTTGTATCAGGGTAGTACCCAGCACCAGAACTGGATCTGAACCCTTACTCCATGGCACTGTCATTTGAAGGGTCTTACTCTTCACCATCTCTGGTTTACGCCTGCTCCATGGTGTTGAGCAGAGATGGTTCTCTACTTTCTGAGAGCCAACCCTACAGCTTGTACCAGAGATCCCTCTCTCAGGGCACTGCTACAAAGGAGGTATGAGTGGCATTGGGCCAACAGCTGCAACTGGCCAGTACCTGTATAACATGTTGCCCTGGCCACGCTGGCCTGAATGGGGGCTGCCATCTCAGGTGTGTCTCAGCAGCTTTCCCTCTTGTACCTCCAGGAAGAGGAGGACTACAGGCTCCCTTGTGACATCACTACCCAGACCACCAACATCAGAGGTAGAAAAGTCAAAACTCAACAAAGGCAAGCCCAAGAACAAACACCCCCAAAAACTGGACCTTTATGGGTGCAAAGTCTACTCATCTGCCTGACTGCAAGTCTGTGTGGCAAACTAAGACGAGTTGTTTGCCAGATGTAATTTCCTGACATGCAAAAACAGTTTCTAGAACAGCTCTCTGGGCAGCCATAGATGCCTCTGGTATGGCCACAGTTGTGACCATGGCTCTTGATATCTGAAATACCAAAGGAGATCCAAGACACCATATAGGACCACCTGCTCGAGGGAATGAGCTCTTCAGCAAAAGAACGGACAAAGCACTCCAGTAATTGAAAAATTTAAGGGCCACTCTGGGGTCACTAGGGATTTATACACTACCCCCTCTAGGAAGTCCTACAAATATCAGCCTGAACAGAGAGACAGCAGGCTCACCCCTGTTTTTAGGGTAGATATCGGGTCTAACCACCGCAGAAACCATTGCAATACTTCAGATCATTTGCCTCCTCCATCGCCCCCATCACCCTAGCAGCTAAACAGCAGATTTGACAGGAATGTCAGGAACCACATCAGAAATGATCAGGAGACAGCAGCCATCTTAAGAAGCCACATTGCCTGTTCCATCGGGCTTGGTCTGATATCGCTTCAGACAAGTGGGTGTTGAACATCATTGCCCATGGCTATCCCATTCATTTCCATATCTTCCCCCCTACCTATTTCCCTTTCTCATCCATCTTCAGTACTGAAGTTTCTCAAAGTGTTATTACATACTTACTCATAGGTCAGAAAACCTACCCCCTGCCTGGGACCTCAATATAGTCCCCCCGAGGCTCATAGAGTTTCCATTTTATTCTCTCTCAGAATGCTCTTGCATCACTTTGCTCTGAATACTGTCTTCCTAGTGTTCTCACTTCACCTAGATGAGTGAGGGAGCTTCAAACACATATGGCTGATTCTGTCCATACAACATTCCGTAGTGAAAAGGTGTTGCTGATACCCCTGCCCTCCCCCCATAAGTTGCTTCCTTAGTTGAAATTCTGAGACTGCCTTAAGCAATCAACATTCCAGTTTTCTTCCCAAAGCCATACTGAACTGTGAGAAAAGAAATTACATACACTAGAGGTATTCAGGAGTTTACTTTATTATGTTTCGAGGACTGAGCTGTTCAGACGGTCACCCTGTCTATATCTAGTCACAGCCAGGGTTTTCTAAAGGCCATGTTGCAGGTAATGAAGGATATAGCAATGAAGCTGTGTTCCCAGTTGGATGTTGTACCTCTTCCAACAAACTGCAAAGCATGCTAAACCGGAGCATAAGCAGCAGTCCACCACTTGCTTCACAAGTATGCCAATATCAGAGATCTGTACGGCAGCAACAAGTAACCTCCTTTGTCAAACACGGTGCCTTGTAGTCAGCAGCTAGATCAGGTGGAAAGGTCGGGAGAGCAGTTCTACAGTCGCTGTTGGACTGATACAGTTGAAACTCTTCATCTCCACCATCCTGAGGGGATACAGCATGCCAGTCACCTGCAGTGTGATCTGCACTGACAAACTCAAAGAAGAAAGGTTACTTAACAGACAGTTACTGCAAGTTCCTTTAAGGTGAGGTAGTCAGTGTGGATCTCACAACCTGCTCTCCATCCCTGTTTTTCACAGTCTTGAGCTAGCCCAGGCTTTGAATTGCAAAGGAACTGGGGAGAGTTGCAGGTGCTGCACCCTTTATGCCCTCTCATAAGAGTACAAGGAGGCAATGGACACTGCTTTTCAAATAATCCCATCTCATGCACATGAGGTACATGCACACCTACAGTGAGATCCACACAAACTGCAATATCTCAAAGAACCACAATTACTGTAGGATGAGAGAATTCTTTTTGCAGGTGCTCTACTCAGGCCTGGTCTGCACTGGGGTGGTGGTGGGGGGTTCGATCTAAGTTACGCAACTTCACCTACGTGAAGAACGTAGCTGAAGTCTATGTACTTAGATCTACTTACCGCCGTGGTTGGTCGACAGCTGATGCTCCCCCGTTGACTCCGCCTGCGCCTCTCACTCTGGTGGAGTACCAGAGTCAACGGGAGAGCGCTTGGCGGTCGATTTATCACATTTAGACTAGACACGATAAATCGACCCCCCGCTGGATCGATCGCTGCCAGTCAATCCTCCTGGTAATGTAGACTAGCCCTTAGAGTAGTTCTGGGGCCTTTTAGCCAAGAAAAATCCACTGAAAATAACCAATTTGTTAAACTTCAAACAGCATCTCGTACTCATGCACAGTCATAACTTTATAACATGTTTTTTTACCCAAGTCACTTGTAAAGAATGTATTATAAAAATATTTGATAGGTCAATAAAGCAAGCACATCATATGGGAATCTAAAGCCTCCACCCCCTTAAATGTGACTTCTGTGGCTTTAGTTTCTGTCTATGCTCATGAAGTACCACAAGTGCTCCCTTAGTATTCCTATTCACTTTTGTGTGAATCTATGTTAGTAAGAGTAGGAGAGTAATTTGAAATATTTGTATCTATCTTTTTAAAAATGTTGGACTATTTCTAGATGTGTAGTAGACACATAGTACAGTGATGGCAATATAGAGAGATCTAAAAATCAGTACTGTGTACTATGCAGTACAAGAAACCTGCAAGGCTCTGGTTATAATGCTGTTTGAGTGTTATCAGAGAATAAAATTTTTACTTACCGCTGTTGACTTACTATAGTAACATACAGTAAACATGATGATCAGGTTATTTAGGATCTGAATCTTATCATTCTTCCATCGTTCTTTGTGGAGAGTTGTATGAAGGATGTTTAGGCAGAGCCAACAGGCAGTATAGCCAGTTATATGAAACTTTAATTAAGCAATTATTTTAACTAAAGTTTGAAACTTTGCCAACTATGCAAGTTACTGTAGCACAACACTTGTAAATGAATGTCACATTATTCCTGATGAAGGATGTATTTGCATAAATCATCTCCTATTTTATCTGCAGGAGCTTAAATTGCCTTCCAAACCCAATCTTCTTAAAATTCCTTTTTAGTTACACTTAGTGAGAGGCTGACTATAACAGAAGCCTCTCAAAAGCTTTCATTTACCCTGTTAGGATTCAAAATGGTTCTGTCAATGTTGTGCTCCTGATTCTCTTCTCACCACTGCTGTAAAATGGGAGTAACTCAATGAATTTACATCAGTGTAAAACTAGTCTTCAGTAACCGATCTTATCCTAAGTACAATGGGGAAAAATAAAACCCTGATCTTGCTAACATGTATACATGTACTTAAGGAGTAAGACCTGAATTTACTTGCCTTTGTTAGTTCTAGATCCTAAAAACTGCTTCACCACAGGTCATTATATTTATAGATAAAAACTCTTGTAAAGGCATATATTTTTAATGTGAATTGGAATATATATTCAATGTTGTGAGTTTAAAAAAAATTTGAAAATTTGCAATGGCAAGCTATAATTGGTTTAAGATTTACAGTTCCATTGTCAATACTACTGAAATTGAGATTCAAAGGGTTCAAAAAGTTGCTTGTACATTTTCCTGTTTTCCACCTGTTTCTTGTTACCAACCATTCTTGACACTTTATTTTATTTTTAATATTTTGCATATACTAATTTGCATGCAAGTTTGTAAAAATAACTGTTTATGTAAGGCAGGATCTCTTTCCTTGTTGTGTCATGCTTGTAACTTGGTGCTGGAAAGCAAATTTTCGCACCTGAAAACCCATTGCTGGCAGCAAACTCATTGCACTGATGGCTAAAAATGATTACAATATCCGATTCAGAGGGCTAGCATGATTATTATAAGAACTAAAATATAAGTGGTTTCAGATTTTTGGACACATACTCACTTAGAGGAGAATAAAAGAAGAGTTTTCAGTCAAATTCTATCAAATTTTATGTATGTAATTCATTAAACGGCACAGTTGAAAACTACAAACATTGAGGAGCAATGCCATTTTGACCACACCAGCAATTCTAATTTTTATACCTTCTTCTTGCAAGGTCTGGGTAGCACTTGCCAATTTCTGTCACCTATGAATTATTATTAATTTTTATTATTATTTTAAGTGGTGTTATCTATTCAGTTCTGTCTTCTTCAGAATGTGCAGTGTTCAGCATGTTTCCAGGACTTTACATAGCTGAGACCAGAAGATCTGGTCTATGCATCTTCCTGAAGGAACTGAGCAGTTCCTCCAAGGAAAGAGAAACAAAATAAAGCCTAGCCATGTAATCTAACCACTATATATTTTTTTTAGTTATTGTTTCCAAGTTACTCTTACAATCCATTAGTAGGCTTACTCCAAAGTACTGATTTCTTAATATGTATTGTACAATGACTTGGAGATTTTGAGCAAAACAACCACCAAGATGAGTGATTTTTAACCTGGACACTGTAAACATGATTACCCTATAATAGAAGTTATATGAGCAAGGAAACATAATAATCAAGCATAAAATAACTGCCATTTTTAATTCATATGAAATATTTATATCTTACCAGAGCAACATGGCATACCTGTAATTTGCCATAATTTTAGGTCACCCAATCAAGTCATCCGATCATTCGAGCATGTCTATGTGAGTTGTGGTCCTATGTCAATATGGTCAGAAAATGAAAAATGAACTTGGTAATAGCAGCACATGTTTATGAAGTTATTTTTATTGGTGATGTTTAGACCAAGAAAGCAGAAATACGCACGCACGCTGTAGTGTCAAAATTAAAGATTGGGGTCTACATTTTCCAAAGTAATTAGTGATTTCGGATACCTTAATGTCTGGCTGCCCAAACTGAGACACCACTAGAACACTGGATTTTCAGAGAGTGGCCATTCAGTACTTTCTGAAAATCCGGCCCTGTTAAGGTGTGTGAAGTCAAGTGCCCAGAATCACTGGTCATTTTTGAAAAATTAGGCCTAATTTTCTTTACTAGAAGAGGTGTCCCTGTCCCTGATTTTGCAGTTGCATAATTGCTAGACTTAGTCAGGCCTGTATATGCCTGCAGTATTCAACAGTGCTGTGTTTGGATGTTTTTCTAAATGGTTGGTCCTACAAACACTTTTTATCGGGTATAATGCTTAATAATGTGATTAACCCCATTTAAATCAATAGTACTACTAGCATTAGTAAATGCTACACAGGGTAGTAATTGTTTGCAGGATCTGGCCCTAAAATTGTGGTCTGCCTGGTTTTTAAAGCAGCAAGAATTCAACAGAATTAATCTGTCCTTTTGAAAAAGATGATGTAAATTCGATTCTAACATGTTTTTCTTCTGGTATGTTGTTTATGTAGATTTCTATGGAAAGCCGCTACCTCCATTGACTATACGGCAGAGACCTAACAGCGACACCCATGATGTCATTTCTTAACCAGATCACATTCTACATTTTTAACTTAATCACAAAATTATAACAATTTTTCCTACTTGGATACTGTTTAAAGAGTTGCTGTGAGATGAGACAATAAGAACCCATTTTCTTTTCTGCCACGGGTTAGTTCTACTGGACTGGATTGATGAGATTTTCTACTTGGCTTATTAGTTACTGTTCACATTCTCACCAGCTCTTCTTCAGGGGTTAACAGGGACATGGAGAACAGAAATGTTTGAGAGCACTTGCACGCACGTGGAATTTGGGATCAGGTTAGTACTGTTGGGTTTCATATTGGGGTTTACTTGCCAGACTATATAGCTATAACCCTGAAGAAAAACACCTTCAAGACCAAATGCAAATGGATTGGGTGTGCACATCAAGACTGTCATTCATATGTTGTGTAGTAATCCATATCTCTACAGCTAATAATTTTAAGGCATTTTGTAAGATGTGTGCATGTTAGAGTGAATATAGAGAATTATATGCTACAAACGTTAACTATATTTTTATAATTTTTTCTAATATTTTATTTGGGAATTTGATTTAACATTAATGCCTGTTACTCGCCATCAAAATGGTGTCTAGAAAGTGTTAAAAATTTGTTGATAGCTTTACCCATATGAATATATTGACTTTTATGTTTACTTTATAATAGCAATACATTTTGGTTGGGATTTATGTCACCAGTTGCCCTAATTATTCATATATTGCCCTTCTGCCAGTCTCTGGGGTTTTTAAGATAAACGGATTTTACACATAATTATGGTATTTGAATGGACTGCCTAAAAGTTTTCTTCTTATGGATCATTTTTTTGTTTTGTTAAATGGGAGTTGATATGCATAGTAAATATGTTTTCAAATATCTTAATTGAATATTATATTATGTGCTATAACATAGAATTGCACACAATTGAAATTTTGAACTCATTTCAACTAAGAATTCTGGTGAAAAATCAAATCAGTTAGCATACATGTCTGTTTAATGTGTTCTATAAAACACTAAAAATGTCATATTGAAAATGTAAAAAGCAGAGATTTTTAAGGCAATGTAATGAGCCTAATTCTAACCTTCCAAATAATGTGCCCCTGTCATATTTATTTTTTTAAAAGGGAGTGGTGTGTTGGAGGAGAGAATTGGATTTACTGTACTTCAAATGTTTTGATATAAGTTTGTATTCTGTTACATTTGGGAGAATAATTTCTATACCATATGTGTACGTATAATTTTACTACTTAGTTGCTGGTGACTGGAAAACCTTCCCTACAACGTTATAGTGAGGTTGAAAGCATTTGTGAAAAAAGCACAGGTCCTAAATCAAAGGTTTTTGGAATAGGCAGGCAATGGTGACTTTCTATTACGCTACCAGCTTCCCATCATCTCATACTAGCAAAAAACACTAGGCCGTGATAATGCAGTGAAATATATTCATCAGCTACCTTAACATTTGAAAGCATTGCATGAGGTTTTAGCCACATGACTCTTGTTAAAGTCAATGGGAGTGACAGCTAAAACCCCACACAATTCTTTTGAAATGTAACCCTTACTTAATGGTTTAAAATATTAGTTTGTTTTAACTAAAGCAAAACCGTCACTAACATTAAGGATGTGTATTGCATTGGGAAGAGAGAGAACTCAAATTCAGTGAGTAATGGGTATGTATAAAACCATTTGAATGTGACTGGAAATAGCAGGAGAATACTTCCCTGGTAGTGGTAAAGGGTCTGGTATGGTGACAGGGTTCTGTTTGAGTAAATAATGATACTATTGTGATGTACTTTGGCTTGCTTTCAATAAACATGTCTTAATATTTAGCATTCTTTCCTTAAAAGTTTACACGCATAATCCCATTAATCTTACCATGTCATACACATACATGTAATTAGTTACCTTGTCATACACATTCCTTTGGTTTGAGGGGTCTATGTACTGCAGTTTGACACTTTTTTCAGTTTCATCTTGACCTTTGAGTTTTTTCTTTATCTATATGCAAAACAAATTAAATTAATGAAAGTCTTTGTTTCTCTTTTTAAAGTGCAACTAAAAAGAAAGCTGGCAGGGAAATTAAATGAGAAACTGAAACTTAAAACAATGATATTTCTCATATTCAAAATTTGTTTCTACTGTTAAATTTATATTGTTATGAGACCAAATTACTAGAAATATTTTTCATACAGTTTTATATATGAAAGTGTACTGTAATTGACAGCATTGTTTTTCTCATTATTTTATACTACATCAGCTTTTTATTTGTTGACGGTCACTGTGTATAGAATAAAACTAATGTACAGCATCTAAGTGTTTTCTTTATAACATATTAAATACTTTTGGGGGGCAAGTACAGAAGAACCTCATGAATTCTTATTAATGACTGTGGGAGCCATTTTGCAATTTGCATTGCTAAATACCATGAATTAGTGAGAGAGTGAACAAATTAAAAAACAAACAAAAAAAAACCCAGCCAAAATAAGTACTTCATGTATTTTGACAGTTATAGATTTATATTTATATTTGTCGTATATTATAAAAAAATACTATTTTAAATACTTCTTGAGGCCTCACTAGTGCACTTAACTATTAATCTTTGAGTCAGTAGGAGGTACTACCAGATTTGAGCAAACTATAAAATTGGGCTAGTGAAGTTCTGTATTTGTCTTAAATTGTGTGTTTGAGATTTTATCCTTGTGCATTTATCAATGTATTCAACTCTTAAGAGCACTTGCTCTTAAATACATGGATGATTTGCACATGCAACTGTTCTCTTAGATAAAGTCGCTATCTATGTAACATTTTAACTTCTTTATGGGACATGCGAAAAGATAGGTGAGAGAAGACCCCCACATAGCTTCATAACATATGGGAAATAGTGGCTGCAAATGCTACATTAATGTTAAAATATAATTAATGATTCAAAAGGCAAATCAATCTTTTTCTTTAACTCCTTTCACCCTGTTCCAAATAAGGGAAGGGGAGGAGGACACAAAGTTTACTGAAATGCTTAATTTTTTTTAGTGTAAATAATATTTAGAACTTTGTGTTCTAAAAGTGCAGTGCAATCATTAAAGCTTCACGTTGTCTACAGCCACATTTTTCTGATTTATCATTTTTCATGTACATTTACAATAAGTGAGAGAACCCCACACTTAACATGGGAGCAGGAGAAAACTGGATCTGAAATAATGGATACTCATAACATTAGACACCTCACCCTGTTGCAGCCGTTTATGATGGCTAAAGGGGACAAAGAAATCTACAGAGGTCCCAGAAGATTTCACACAGGGTGAGAACTGCAAAAGGCAGTTGTAGATAGTTGTCAAATCAAGAGGATGTTGGGGGTGTCAGTTGCAAAGGCTGCAGCATTGCAGAGATTCTGAACAGCACTCTGCCCCATAAGACAGCATGAGGAGGCTTGGGGTAACTTAGACAGCCCTGTAGGATTTAAAGCCATCTTAGCTCCCACCCCCTTGGGCTGTGGTTCTGTGCTGGGCTTCTTAGAGGCACTGCACAGAATCTTACCATTGAAAGGTACACACAATGATAACTTTACCAGCTGGAGATTATTCTGTACTTGTTTTTCTTCTCTCTCTCCATCACAAACATATATATATATATATATATATTTTGGCCTGAAAGCCGTGCTTCTTGGCCTAGTGATGCCACTTCAGATAGCAATGATGTTCAGTATGATAACTTCAGGGTGCTTCATTGCTAACTTTGTGATAACTGTCTCCTTGGCTGCCACCTTTGGAGTTCATTCAGCTCAGGATACTGTTGTTTCCTCAAAAGGAAACACCATCCTAAATTATTTCAATAGAAATGCCATTAATGAGATTCATAGAAGTGACTAGAAAGCTAATAATAAAAGTTTCCATTAGGGCAGAGACATGTTCAAGTTTTTTTTTTTTCCTGCTGTTTGGATACACTTTGCTATCTTACCTAAGATCACATTGGCACTTACTAGAGGGTGATCTGTACTCCACAACAAACTACTTTAGGAAAATAATGCACTGTGGCAAGCTGCAAAGCACTGCCTGCTCCCCAGTGAATATGGTGCTGACTTCACTCCCCTTGCACTGGTTGTGAGGAAAGATTATAGGATTGTGACTGTTTCACACAGTAACACCCCCCACCAACTGTCATAAAAATGGATTGATCTCTAACTGGGAAACTGTAGCATGAGATTTTCGAAAGCACTCAGCATTGGCCTAACATTGACTTCAGCTCGAGTAGAGTTAGACACATGCTGGGCACTTTTGAAAGTCGCATACCTAGGATGTTTATATAAACTAAACTGTTTGTGCTTGGTTGACTGCAGTGTCCCGTATGGCCTCTATTTTGAATTTCCTCTCTTCTTGAGAAGTGGAAATCCAGACGCTCGGGTTAGAAGTCCTATTATTTTTAAAATTTGGCATAAGTGTTTATATGAAATGGATGTTTGTGCTCCAAATTTCTAAAATAAATATCCATGCTTCAGCTCAGCATTTATTCTGTATAGAGACAATCATAGGCACCGACTTCCCCTCTGCCCCATGGATGCTCTGCCCACCCATGCACCACCCTCATCCTGCCTCAATTTCACCCCCTTCCCCCAAGTCCCTTCACCTGCCCTGCCTCTTTACCACCTCCTCCTCCGAGCGCCCTGGATCCCCACTCCTCCCCCTCCCTCCCGGAAAGTCCTAAGCACTGCCAAACAGCCATTAGGCAGCGGGTGGGAAGCGCTGGGAGGCAGAGGAGCAGGGACACGGTGCGCTCAGGAGAGATGGAGGGGTGGGGGCGGGGGAGCTTGGCTGCTGGCGGTGCAGAGCACCTGCTAATTTTTCCCCTTCGGTGCTCCAGCCCCACAACACCCACAGAGTCAGCACCTATGGAGACAATGTTGAGTTATTTATCTGTCAGCCTGGCCCACTACTGGAGCATGAACGCTCACATTTTATTAAAGTTATCGGTTTAGAGCCAGATTTATTCATTCTTGTATGAATGGCCAAATAGTTTTCTGTGCCAAAAAATACTGTAATGCTTGAGAAAATGAGGTGCCTCTCACTCTTGACCGCTAATGTCTGCTTTACACATCTATTTCTGTATTTTCCTGTTCCTTGGAATGTGGCATATTTTGCAGGCTTCTTGGAAATTGTTTCCTAATCGGCCTTCCCCGGATACAGTGTACTATTGCACATAAGCAGTATCTCAAAATTTATCTAGCCCCAACACATTCATTATTCAGTGGGAGGAAGAAATATCTTGAAACTTTCAGCAACTTCCCCATTACGGGCTCTAGGAGGATAGCATTTATTTACATGATCCTGTAATTTTAAATTTTGGATAGCTTTCAACTAAAGCTTTAAATTTGCTACCCACTGCAATCAAGATATGTTGGATATGATTCAGACTTTCAGTAACATCTGCTGGACTCTTGCTAAATCTAACCTCATCTGACCATCCAGGACCATGCCCACCTGCAGGTGTTATACCTAACATTGAAGGCCTGTGTCTTAGCTTGTAAAGGAGAAACACCAAGGTCCCAGCATTCTACTTTGCTTCAGGGGGAAGAAGAGAAACCCCACAACCCTTGCAGCTGGACTGTGCAGAGGTAAAGAAATCCGCACTGGCACAATGTCATGCCTTCTTTGGAGAGCATGGGAGTACTCTCTGAGGATTCAGGTGCACAGTTGCTGAGGGGTGGCACTGCCTTTGGTATTTTTGAATGTTGACCTCTCTCTAGTCCAAGATATCTGGGCTTGTGCCCCTCTTTCTGAAAATGCTAGAGGCTTTTGAGAGCTAGTCCACCTCGCTTCTGCTTCCCTGAAATGGAGCCCGGAATCTTGAAAGAAGCTAGTTTGACTTCTAGTCATTGTAGGGGACATTGTTTAACTTTTCATCCAAAGTAACCCCCCCAGATCAGTACTGCAGATAACTTACTGTACTGTTTATGGTGCAGAAACTGTTAGTATTAATAGCTGTGGCTTGGTTTTTCAAAAATTGCAGAGCTCAACTTCCACTGCAGTCCATGGGCCACCAAAGGTTCTGCTAAAAAGTTAATTAGTAAGATTCAAAAAAGTCTATTTTTATAAAGCAAAAGTAATGTATTTTAACCAAATTGCCTTTCTAACATCCTGAGAACTGTGCTGCAGACATCCTAGTTTCTGCCACAGTGGGTGACATTAGCAGCACCACACACTAATGGACTGATAAATGTTTAGAGTGGGATGGTTCTTTCAAAATGTTTATGGTATTTGTTTGATAAGTAAGGTAAACAGGAGATCAGTTCTGGCATCAATTATTGGCTTTAATGGAGTTACAATGCAAAGAACTTGGCCCTGTATGTTTCACCATGAGTATTTTTATCCACGTTCAGTATCTTACAGAAGTTGGCATTTAATTAAAAAAAAAAATCCCCAGACCTTTTGCAGTTGATATTTGAGAGTGTATATATAAAGCTTTATTTTGACTTCTGTCTCTTTCTCTGGGGCTTGGTTTGACTAATCTTAGACAAGCTTCTAAATTTGGTGACAATATTTTGTAGGAGGCATGCTCTTAGTTTTTTTATAAAGCTAGCCTCACGAATGAAAAAGATGAAAATAAAGGAATTCATTGTGAAAGTAATAAATTTGAAGGCCAAGTACTGTACCAGACGAATTCAGCTCTTTAAAAATAGATAGGATTGATTTTAAGAGGACTTGTTTAACCTATACTATTTAGTATTTCCATCTTGCTTGTTCTTGTTGTTTGATTTTTTTTTTTTTCTCCCCCCTGAGGCTGAATTATCAACATACTGAAAACATCCTGGATTTTCTGGTAAATGGGTTGTATTTTTTTTTTTTGGCTTGGTATCTGTAACCAGCACTCATTTTAATGTACAGTAGAACCTCAGACTTCTACTCTCAGGGAACATTTCAGAGTTACGAACAATTTCCATTCCCAACATGTTTGTAATTCTGAATTTTGAGCTAGGGTTGGACTAGATGACCTCCTGAGGTCTCTCCTAACCCTAATCTTCTAGTATTCTATGAACAAGATGTTATAGTTCTTTCAAAAGTTTACAGCTGAACATTGACTTAATACAGCTTTGAAACTTTACTATGCAGAAGAAAAGTGCTGCTTTCTTTTTTTTTTAAGTAGTTTACGTTTAACACAGTACTGTACTGTACTTGCTTTTTTTATTTTTGTCTGCTGCCCCATGGTATACTTCCGGTTCCAAATGAAATGTGTGGTTGACTGGTCAGTTTGTAACTCTGAGGTTCTACTCTACACCATCTCATGAAACACCAGAAATGGAAGCTGAGCTGTGGCAATGTGAGGCCAGAAACCTCAAAGGGCTAGGAGCTTTCCTAGCTCTGATTGGCCATGAGATAAGGCCTCAACCTCACATTATTCTGTGTGCTCCCTTGCCTTCGCTACTTGCACCATTTCAATGTAGGATGTTAGTAGCCACTTATTTTTGCAAGAGACAGGTCTTTAAAGTTATAGGGCTGAGGTTGCCACCATGATCCCCCAGTTGCTAGGATTGCTGCTGAAGGGCCCTCTGTTCCCAAGAGGATCTGGTGCCAGTGAGGGAATCAACAGAAACAGACACAAATGAAGCTATTCAGGGAGACACCACAGAGTGAGAGCCAGGTTCCAGAGGTATTTTTGGAGGAGGATAGTGGAGGAGGCAGGATTGCATATTGTGGGGAGATGTGTTGCCAACTTACCGACTTTGTCACTAGATTTAATGACTGTTTGGTTTCCCTAGTGAGAAAATAAGTGTTGAAGTGACCACTGACAAATCTAGTGACTTTTACTGCCAATTACAGTGACACTCAGAGAAAGAAGTCACCAATATGTATAGTCACAAAATCATTCACAAGCAGCTCAATAGTGTTAATAAAATCCATTCCATGCTCCTCTTACTACATTCTGTTGCACACTACATCATTGTCATTACATCTCACTTGAGCATGTCCTTGGAAGGAAGCACATTCTAGGGCTCCTTGGGCTGATATCACTATAATCTGCAGGTGAGGAAAAGAAGTTTGTGGAGGCCAATTAAATACTTCGCTAAAGCCAGACACGCTTTGGAGACAGCAGCACATTAGCTAGGGCTTGTTTTTACCCAAATGTGTTCTTTCTTTGTAGTAGATAGTACACTCTGTGATGCAGGGAAAGATGGCTAATGAAGCAGGCTGGGAGGGGGAGGCAGGTTAGCCAGTGAGGAGAGCCCCATGGCTGGAAGATGGGGTGGGATGAGACTGGACACTGTGCCCCCAGGAATTAAGCCCTTACTACAGGATCAAAGGTGAAGCTAGCCTGATTTCAGTTCCCCTTTACTCCTTCCCTTGGCTTGGCCTGGGGTTAGCTGCCCAGCTGTTTTGAGAAATGAAATCCTGGAAGCAGGAGGGAAGGGGTCCAGCTAACGGATTTTTGTTTTTAAGTCTACTTTCTTGGCTTTCTGCAGCGCCGAGCGAAGGTCCTCTTACCCCTTGTTCTGGGCCCTCCCTTTCACTAACCTGTCTGCTCAAATCCAGGCTGGCAAGAAAGGGAGGCTCATCTGAAATTAACCAACCCTGGCCTCCGCTGAAATTAACCAGCGCTGCAGTGTACAATGTGCCCTTTACCATGAGCAGAGGGCGCCCTCCTGGTGATGACAGCCTACTGTTTCAGAGTAACAGCCGTGTTAGTCTGTGTTCGCAAAAAGAAAAGGAGTACTTGTGGCACCTTAGAGACTAACCAATTTATTTGAGCATGAGCTTTCGTGAGCTACAGCTCACTTCATCGAATGCATACTGTTGTTGCTTCTGGTGTGCAACACAATGTAGTAAGAGGAGCATGGAATAATTTTATTAACACTGTTGAGCTGCTTGTGAATGATTTTGTGACTATACTCACCTGTGTGTGTATATATATCATTCTCTGTTGAATTTTCTGGAAGTTTTTCGGTGACATTTTTGACTCTTTTTGAGTGCTTCAACAGCTACATCTAGCGACCTTTCAGGGTTTGTCTGGTGACTTCCTTCTCTGTGGAGTTGGCAATCGCGACTGATGGATTGAGGTGGTGGAGAGGGAGCGTCTTTGCCTGCAGGGTGGGGAATTCCTCCTCATGTGACTTTGGAGGGGGAGGGGAAACTGCCCTGTGAAAGGTTTCAGAGTAACAGCGGTGTTAGTCTGTATTCGCAAAAAGAAAAGGAGGACGTGGGGCACCTTAGAGACTAACCAATTTATTTGAGCATGAGCTTTCGAGAGCTACAGCTTCATCCGATGAAGTGAGCTGTAGCTCACGAAAGCTCATGCTCAAATAAATTGGTTAGTCTCTAAGGTGCCCCAAGTCCTCCTTTCGTGTTTGCCCTGTGAAAATGAGCGTGGCAGATTTCGATCGCAGGACTGAGCGATGCTGTGAGGTGCCGCTTTCTGCGAGCAAGGGCAGCAGCTTGGCTCGGGATGATGACACACGAGCGGGCAGCTGCGTGTGCAAGGGCGCCAGGAGGGGAGGCGGTCAGTGAGATGGCCTGTCAACCCGCCCGGGCAGCTCGGTGCTCCAGCCTCAGCAGTGCACCGCAGCGGCCTTTCTCGTGGCCGGCCCAGCTCCAGCAGCAGCGAGGTGGCGCCGCAGCCCTTGAGCGAGCTCAGCTGAGCCCCGCCCGGCCCGGCCCGGCCCGGCCTGGCCTGGCCTCGCCTGTGTCCTCTCTGTGGGGGCGGTGCTGTTTGGCGCTGAGCCCCGCCCGCTCTGCGACCCCCCCCGCCAGGGCGCGCAGCCGGCCACGCGGCCCCTCCCCCGAGCGCGGCCCACACGCCGGGCCCGGCGCCTCTTCCCCATGCGGCGGCTGCTGCGCGCCCCAGCCCGGCTGCGCCGCCAGCTCGCTGCCTCCTGTGGGCCGCGGGGGGCCCCTTCCCTGGCCCAGGAGCGGGTGAGAGGCGGGGGCCGGGCCTCGGGAAGGCTGCTGCGCGGGGTGGGCCAGTGTGCGGTAGCAACAGCCAGTGGCCGGCAGTAGGCAAACAGCTCCGGAGATTGGGGAGGGACTCGGGCCCCCTTGCCCTTGGGAAAGAGCCCTTCCTCCTGCCCCACTGCGCCCCCAAGCTTGCGCTGGGGCCGGGCCGGCGGGGCCGCTGAGCGCCGGAGGGGAGTCGGCCTCCGCTCTGCAAAGAGTCCGGAGTGAAGCTGGGGGAGAAATCGCTCGACCCCAGCAACCCCCCGAGCTGTTAGTGGGCAGGCGGGGGCGCGAGGGAGGAGAGCGGCAGCAGGGTCCAGCACCGCTTCTTCCTCCCCTCTTCTCCAGGGCTGCTGCAGTGAGCGCTGCCTCCCAGGGTTGCCATCTCCACGGCTAGACTCGCGCGGAGTATGTTGTTTTTTTATTTTTAAAGCGCCAGTTCCTGGGGTTGTGACAACCTTGGTGTTCATTTCCATTTTTTTCCCACTGGGCCTTCAAGATTAGGGCCCTGCCAAATTCGCGGCCATGAAAAATGCGTCGGGGACCGTGAAGACTGGTCTTCCCTCTGCAAAATCTGGTCTTTTGTGTGCTTTTTACTCTATACTGTATAGATTTCATGGGAGACCAGCGTTTCTCAAATGGGGGTCCTCACCCAAAAGGGAGTTGGCGGGGGGGGGGGATCACAAATTTATTTTACAGGGATCATGGTATTGCCACCCTGACTTCTGCACTGACTTCAGAGCTGGGTGGCCGGAGAGTGGTGGCTGTTGGCGGGGCGCCCAGCTCTTGTCAATACCATACCATGCCACATAGGTGCCAACTTCCCCTCTGCCCAGTGGGTGCTTGGCCCCACCCCTGCCCCCAGTTCCCTGCCCCACCTCTTCTCCACCTCCTCCCATAAGTGTGTCCCTCCTGGAAAGTCCTAAGCACTGCCAAACAGCTGTTAGGTGGCAGCAGCAGGGGGGCGGGGGAGCGCTGGGGAGGAGTGGGGACGCTGGGGAGGAGTGGGGACTCAGCACGCTCTGGGGGGAAGAGGCGAGGAAGGGGGAGCTTGGCTGCCAGTGAGTGTGTAGCATCCACTAATTTTTCCCCATGGGTGATCCAGCCCTAGACCACCCACGGAATCGGCGCCTATGCTATGCCACCCTTACTTCTGCACTGCTGCCTTCAGAACTTGGTGGCCTGACAGTGGCAGCTGCCAACTCAGGGCCCAGCTCTGAGGGCAGCAGTGCAGAAGTCAGGGTGGCAATAACATGCCATCCTTACTTCTGTGCTCTGGCTGACGCTGGGCTCAGAGCAGGCAGCCGCCGGTCTCCAGCTGGCCAGTTCTGAAGGCAGCAGCGCCGAAGTAAGGAAGTACCATGAGCCCCCCTACAATAATACACCCTTGCCCCCCACCCCAACTCCTTTTTGGGTCAGGACCTCTGCAATTATGACACTGAAATTTCAGTTTTAAATATCTGAAATCATGAAATTTACTATTTTAAAAATTCGATGACTGTGTAATTGACCAAAACGGACCGTGATTTTGGTAGGGCCCTATTCTTGATTGTTTTCAGAGTAGCAGCCGTGTTAGTCTGTATTAGCAAAAAGAAAAGGAGTACTTGTGGCACCTTAGAGACGAACAAATTTATTTGGGCATAAGCTTTTGTGAGCTACAGCTCACTTTGTAGCTCACAAAAGCTTATGCTCAAATAAATTTGTTTGTCTCTAAGGTGCCACAAGTACTCCTTTTATTCTTGATTGTGGGATTAAGCTTTTATATTGTGATCTAAATGTGCGTAGGGGCCTTGGAAAGCAAAGAAAAAAAAGCCCCAACTTTGTTGTTTGAAATGGTGGTGGGTTTGGTAAGCCACTCTGATGAATTTTTAGAGTTTGACTCACGATTTTTGAATGCTGCATGTCGGCAGTGCTGGGTAACAGGGAGCTTTCTTTAACATCACATGATTTTTCTGAGTTTTCCTGTGTGCAGTGGAGAGAGGGCAAGGGCTCATCTACGTGGGAAAGTCATTGGCTTACCTGTACTGGTATGATTATATTTCTATAGTTCAGGAGTTCACAAACTTAATTTTGCCGCCGACCCCCTTTTGACAACATGATTACTGCAAGACCCAGGAGGTTGGGGGGTAGATCCTGGCCCTGCTGCCCCAGGTGAAGCTTGGGCTTCAGATTCAGCCCTGGTTCCCAGCAAGTCTAATGCTGGCCCTGGCGACCCCATTAAAATGGGGTCCCAACCCACAGTTTGAGAACCTCTACTATAGTTACAGACTCATAGACATTAAGGTCAAAAGGGATCATCATGATCATCTGGTCTGACCTCCTGCACAATACAGGACACAGAACTTTACCCATCCACTCCTGTAATAGACCCCTGACCTCTGGCTGAGTTATCAGCGTCCTCAAATCATGGCTTAAAGACTACAGTTACACCGAATTCACAGTTAAGCAGTTCAAGTTATACAGCATCCACCATTTACCAGTGTAGCTCCCTGAGTGGATAGTCTTCTTGCAGAATAAGAATGTCCACACACAAAGTCATACTGGTATAATTATTATAGGTATGCTGGCAAATTTCCCTGTGTTGACAAAAGCCCTGACAAAGGAGGTGGAGGAAAAAGCTACTTGAAACTAGTGGTTCATGATTTTTTTAAGCCAGTCTTATGGTTTTGGAGGGCCCTGACTTTTGATTTTTTTATTACTGAAGGAGTTCTGTGCCAAAAAATAAAAATTATGCGCACAATATTTTTAAATTCTGCAAAGTTCTGCATATTTTATTTGTCAATAAATAAATGTGGAGGCTCCAGCATGACAGTAGGGAGCACTGGCCAACTGGCTGCATTGAGATGGGAGATCACCCTGGAGCCCCCACCTCCCCCGGTACAGGGACTCAGCAGTGAGGCTGCACCCAACCCGGACACAATGCAAGGGCTGGGCCTGCCCCTCTGTGCCAGGTGCACCAGGTGTGGGTGGGCAGGCTCAGCCCAGCAGGATCCAAGTGTGGAGGGACTTAGTGTGGGGTGGGAGGTTTCTGTGTGTGGGGCAGTCTGGGTGCGGGTGGCTCAGTGGGGGATCTGGCTGCACAGGGGCTTGTTTGGGGGGTCCGGGTGCAGAGGCAATGGGACTCTGCAGGGGATCCAGGTGAAGGAGGTTGGGGCTCAGCAGGGGGGTCTGAGTGTGGGGAGATGGGGCTCAGTGGGGGCGTGTCTGGATGCTGGGGGAGTGGGGCTTGATTGGGTGGGGGTCCAGGTGAAGCTGGTTGGGGCTCAGTGGGCCAGAAAATAGAAAAAGTGGTCTTGACATTTTTTGGTGGTCTTCACTTCTGTGTGCTGTCAAAAATATTCCAACCAGCTCAGATATTGTGGGTCCCACTCCTGCATAGAGTACCCTTTGGACAGACCCATATTGACTTCAGGGGCTCTGCGTAGGCCCAGAGGTCCACCCACATGCAGGACTGGGGCCTTAACTTTTAACATCACAGAACTAGCAGGTGAAGAAATACAGTAGGTGTATCCCAGCTCCTGTGTATCAGGCCACTTCTCTCTGCCTGCAATTTGGTCCTAAATTATTGCGTCTAAAATCTAAACCAACTGACTGCTTTACAGAGCTTTTGTAAACAGTAGCCAGTTTTTATAAATAACTGTGTTTTTATTTTCCTCCTTATATACTTCAGGGCTCCTATGCTTAGCTTTTCATTGGGTACTTACAAGTATATTTCTACCCTGAAAAGTGACATACTAAAATGACGATGTGGAGGTCCATATGCAGTGTGCCACTCTGATTTTTAAATAAGACTTACTTAATATGCAAGTAAATTTCCCCCCCTACATACCAGCCCCACATATGTACTTTATGTTTTAAGGAAGAAAAATCTATAACAGTTTTCAGCAAAAATATAATTGCATCATTGCTGAAAACAAGTACAACCCTTTCTAGTGTAGATAAATAGCCTGACAGTCAAACTCTGTTCTTTTGTATTATCACCAGTGATAGAGATTCTGCTGATGTAATTATGCTCTCAACTATACCTGTTAATTTCAGATTATATTTTCAGATACACATGTGCAGCCCCATTACACATCTCTGTAAAATAATAATAATCTGCACAAATTGGTTATGTTGGTTCCATAGTTCTGTCAATTTCCCTGCTTAAAGGTGATCTACAAAGTGTGTGTGGGGAGGGGAGGAAGGAGAAAGAATATGTTGGTGCTGGTTTTTATTTTTGTATCTTTATGAGAATGAAGAAGACCTGAAAAAAAATGAATTTTTTTCTTCAGTTTATTTTCTTGGCTTTTTTATGCCTTAGAATTATCAAGTTTTGCTTTCTTGCTTTTTGCTGGAGGTCTCCTTGCTGAGCCACAGAACTGGAAAGAGAAGTTTTCATATCTGTTAATTGAAGGTGCAGGAGTATTGACTCTTTAGCCAAGAGATTTTTCCTCCTAATTATGTGTTAGATGTTTTTGTTAACGCAGATGCTTAACGAATGCCCACAAACAAAAGCAACATTGTAAACAGGCTGTCTAAAAATCCCTTCTTCTCTCAATCGCTCAAGCTTCACTGCCATAGTAGGTTTGATTTACTAATCCAACTAGTTCTCCAGTCATCCGAAGTCTTCCAAGGGAAATGGAACACAAGACCTCAATTCTATTTAAAAAAAAAAAACAAACACCACTCCAATCCTTCCTCTTTTAAAAGCACTTTTCCTTCCAGCCTTTTAGTCCCCTCTTTATATAGTTTAAAGCAGGGGTCGGCAGCCTTTCAGAAGTGGTGTGCCGAGTCTTCATTTAGTAACTCTAATTTAAGGTTTCGCGTGCCAGTAATACATTTTAATGTTTATAGAAGGTCTCTTTCTATAAGTCTATAATATATAACTAAACTGTTGTTGTATGTAAAGTAAATAAGGATTTTAAAATGTTTAAGAAGCTTCGTTTAAAATTAAATTAAAATGCAGAGACCCCCGGACCTGTGGCCAGGACCCGGGCAGTGTGAGTGCCACTGAAAATCAGCTCGCATGCCACAGGTTGCCTACCCCTGGCCTAAAGAATACTTTGGGTGGAATTCTGCACCAGAATTCATGTCTCTGGCAGATTTCTTTGCTTCCCCGCATAAAAATGCTGGGGAAGCAAAGGGAAGCTGCAGGAGCGGTCACGCACCCCTCCACAGCAGTGTGGGCATGTAGTTTCACACACCCCCAGACCAGCCCGTGTGGAGGTAAATCACTACAGGGAAGCACTCATCTGCTAGTCCCGGCTGGGCTGGGTAGGATGGGACTTCCTCTTCCCATGCAAGGAGTGGCTGAGGAAATGCAGGAAGCTCCGTATTTCCACCCCTCTCTCACCCCCCCGGCACTTCCTGCCCCAATCGCTCCTAAGCTGCAGGGGGAGGAGTCACTGTATGGGGATCTGCTCCCCCATGTGCCCAACCCCGATGCATCTGGACCCCCCCATACCCAGACCCCCCCACAACAAACCTCAACCCCTCACACCCAGAATCCCCCTACCAAGTCCCCCAGCCACATACCCCATTGAGCCTCACCCCGTGCTCCCAGACCCCCCCTGCACCTGAACTCCCCTCCCTCCCCCTGCTAAGCCCAAGCCCCTGCATCCAGCCCCTCAGCACTGCACCCAGACTATTCTCCGCTGAGCCCTCCGAACTTGAACCCCCACCCAGACAAGTCCCACCCTCCTGCACCTGGGTCATCCTGACAAGCACCCCACACCTGGACCCCCACCCCCACTGAGCTCCAACCAGCTGCACCCAGACCTCCCCACTAAGCCCCCAGTATCCGGACCCCCCTACTGAGCCCATTCCCAACACCCAGACCTGCCCTGCTGAGCCCGAACTACCTTTACCTGGACCCCACAACTAGTCCCTGTGCATTAGGGTTGCCAGTTTTGGTTGGTTGTATTCCAGGAAGTTTCAACACATGACATAATCTTTAATTAAAGATTAATCTTTAATTCCTGCAGACACCGGGACAATCCTGGAGGGTTGGCACCTCTACTGTGAATCTAGATTCCCCCCCCCCACTGAGCCACCCACACCCAGATTGCCCCACACAGAATCCTCTCTCCCCACACCTGGATCCCCCCACACTAAGCCCCTCCACACTTGGCTCCTGCGTAGGCTGAGCCTGCCTGCCCCATACCTGGATGTGTGAGTGTCTGTCCCTCTCACTTGCTATCTTGGTGCATCTGGAGCAGGGGGACAGGGCCCGGGGTGCTTCTGGGGCAGGCCCGGCTCTTGCACTGTGTCAGGGTCAGGTGCAGCCTCACCACCAAGTCCGTGTCCTGGGGCGAGGGCTGCAGGGTGGCCTCCCACCTTCATGCAGCTGGTGGCCTGTCCTCCCCACTGCCATGCTGGAGTCTCCACATTTATTTATTTATGAATAAAATACGCAGAATTTTTATATTTTTGGCACAGAATTCCCGAAAAAAGCAAAAAAAGAGCACAAACCCAGTGTTTTCCTTTGCAGAACTTCTTTAAATAGCTTAATCTGGTACAGAAGACCAAATAGCTACCTCAGTGGATTGATTCTGTAGAATGAGTCCCTAAATATTGCTAGGAATTTTCTTTGTGTATGTAAGTAAAACAAACAAAACGTACAGTTGAATTAATTCTACCATTCTTATTCACTCCTAGAAGAAAGCAGTTACTATAATTCTTCAAAGCAGGATTGGATTCCGTATGACTTGCACAAGGATGCACTTTAACATCTGTCTTTTAGTTAGATACGTTGAGAGGGGTTCCTTGGCAGGGGTGCTAATTTTCTAGGGATATAATCTCCTTAATGATGGTTTGTTTATTTTGCTCCTGGTATGTTGGCGCCCCAGGATCCTTGTAATTTATTTGGCAATCACAGGGACGGAGCATCTTGAGCATACAGTTTGGATGATTTGTTCACAGGTCAGGAGAGATGGTATTCATACATCATATTTTACAGAGGGCTCCAAAATTCCTGTTGCCAGCCCTGAAAATATGTATACCATGCCCATCAGTGGGGTACCTGAGCACCTTAATGTCATTATTAATCCAAACAGATGTATTTAAAATCTGATGTACTGCAATCTTAGGCTAATAGTTTTTCATGGTGACTTTTTCCCCCTCCCTCTAAGCTGAAATCAGAAGGGAAGCCTCAAAAGCAGATCTGCCAAGTTGTTCTGGATCACTTTGAGAAGCAATACATGAAGGAGCTGGGAGAGGCATGGAGCACAGTCAGGTTATTTTTTCTCTTTTTATGACCCCATAAAATAACTGCAAAGAACTATATAGAATTCATACAAACTGGAAATTGTGCTTCTGATTATTTTATGGAGAAACTAGGATACCAGCATGGAATGATAGATGAGCACTTGTCTTTAATAATTCTAGTCAAGCATCTGGGAAATGAGGGAATGTGCAGGAAAGATCACATCGCCTGATGTAGAGATACAGTTTAGGTGACATGACCCTTTTATTAACATATGGAATCTTATCTTTTCATTCTTGATGGGACATTATCCCACTTGCACAAATCCCCTCAAGGAATTGAAAATATAAAGGCTGGATGCCTTATCCATAACTCACTTAGTTTCCGCTTAGTTGTGGAAAGAAAAAGAGACAATAGTATGAGCTGAAAGCTAAGTATTAGTCATAGCCTTGAATTGCTTCATCAGTGAGTGTCATGATGACCTTCAAGACAGACTTACAAACTGGAAAACAGTTAAAATGAGGGAATATTTCATAACAAAATAGCTTTTATTATTTTTATCTTGAACGTGTCTGAATAATGTCAAAAAAGCAAAACAATTGTGAATACAGCCAGTTTTAAGAGAAATAAGATAAACAGTTCCTTAGTCTCTCTGTAACGTTCCATGACAAGTAAAGAGAAACAAATATTTTTTTTTCTTTTTCTCCTCCTCCCTCCTGATTTCCTTTTTTCTTTCTGTTCTTTCTTCCTTCTCTTTCCTCCTCACAATACTTAGGGCCAAATTATGGTCTGGCTGAAGTCAATGGGATTTTTGCTTTGACTCCAGTAGCACCAGGATTTGGCCTACGGAAAACCCTTTATGTGTTCAAAGGAGGGGAGATGCATCAGCGAGTTTCATATTTTATACTTCGGTAGCAATTTACTGAAAAATGAGGAAACAATAATTATATCAGAGACGGTGACCAAAAAAAGATAAAATGAACTTCAGAAATATTCACCGGTATAAAAGAGGAATCACTCCAATTACAGAACGAGAAGTAACTTGATTGATCATTAATTATATTTATTTCCCTGGGTACTTTTCTGAGCTCTGTTTTATTAAAATAACATTCTCTCACTATTCAGCTTCTTCTCCTGCTACATCCTGTGGTGAGATCATTATTCCTATGTTACAAACGGCAAAACGGAGTCACATAGAAATTACGTGACATCCCCAAGATATTTCAACAGAGCTTTCACAGTTTACACAACTGAAGATCTGCCCCTTAGAGGTAGAGTTGGAGAACATTATTTTCTAAATTGGCAGGATGGCAAAACATAATTAGAATATAGTTCTCATTAGATAGTTTTCTAGTACCATGTGGACAGGGCCAAGCCACGATGGGATAGTGCTGCAAAATATTTTAGTGTAAGTCAGAGCTGCTTATCAGATGCTTTTTGTCTCTGTCCTCATTGGCTAGTCACATTGTTAAACCACATCCTTCCGAATTGTTTTCTAACAGTTTTCAAAGAAGATTGGGGAGCCTAATATATAAACAGATTTGCATTTGATTTATTTGGTAACTTTCCCTAGTATTAAAAGACCATCTGTAATATTTATTTTTTTGTTTTGTTTGCGTGTTTATTTTCAGAAAACTTCTTCAAAGAAGATTATAATAGATGTTGGATGAAGTGTGTTTATTGTAGTGCCCATTTGATCTGCTCTTGGAGTCACTTTTTAGTTTTATGGATTCAGCTAGTCAGTATCAGTCAGATCAGTCCATTGTTTGACTTACGTCTCCCAAAATGTAAATGCTAACAAAGCCCTGTTGGTTTTATTTTTTTCAAAGAATGCAAAAAGGATTCCAAATCAGCAAACACTGTTACCCTTTTCAGTGAAAACCAAATGCATTAAACTCCCCTCCCTCCCCCAGCCCCCGATTTCAGACATGAAAATTTCGTTATTTGCAGAGACCATTTACTATGTGACAAGTTTTAGTATGGAGCAAAATACCTTTTATTTCTGAGAGCCACAGTATTATACATTGGTTATTAAAGAATACATGAAGGGTTGATTTAAAAAAGCAAGGTGAAAGATTAATTGGGAGCAGCATTAGGGTTTTTTGTTTCTGTCTTTTTTACAAATGAGTTCACAGCTTCTCTATGTTTGTACACTCCTGAGTTCCTGTTTATAACAATAATGGAGGTAAACCAAGTATCCCTATTTATCCTTTCTCTTGACATGAGAACAAAGGGATATTTCATGAAATTGAAAAGTAACACATTTAAAACTATAGAAGGAAATTCTTCATTACATAATTCATAATTAACCTGTGGAAACAGGCTCAAACCACCGGAACACACTTAAAATACCATAACTGTGGGCGAGCACAAAACCTAGCTGTGGTGTTTGCTCTAATTCCCTGAGATGAAGGGCTTGCTACGTTATGGAAACTTAACTGTAACCTGCCACTTATTAAATATAACTCTGCTTTGTTTTTCCTTTTTAAACCTCCAGGGAGGTGCTCACATCACCATTGTGCTGGCAATATGCTGTTCTGCTTAATAAATTCAGCTTTTCCTCTGAACTGAAGAACAACTTGCGTTTGAAGGGATATCGTAGTCTCTTTCAGGAAACCTTACCCTATCTCCCAGGATCATTAAAATGTTACATCAGTAGAACTCCTGGAAGATTCCCTGCACAAAAACACCAGATTGGTAAACTCAAGGAATATTATCTGCTGAATGCTGCTTCACTTCTGCCGGTGCTGGCATTGGAAATAAAGGATGGGGAAAGGATTTTGGATATGTGTGCTGCTCCAGGCGGTAAATCAATAGCTATGCTGCAGTGTGCCTGGCCAGGTAATGTATTTTATTGTTGTGCCAATTAAAATACAGAAATCATGTTCCAGGAGCAGTTATCAAAGTTATTAGAAGGCATGTTTGTGTATGTTGTGAGATTAAAATTTAGTTTAAAAGGGACGCTGTACTCAGTAGATTCAGATTGTTGAAATCAGAATATTGTGAAGTCAGTTTGTCCTAGTATTAGTAAGGACAAAAACTTGGACATGTGACTATGTAAATGGGCTTCATATTAATGCAGATTGAAAAACCAAGTGGTGCTGCTTTTTCTTCCTGTCTAGAATGTACTCTGTGTATCGTGTACTGCTGCCAAGCATGTTCCTGTAACTGTAAGTTAATCAGAGTTCTTAGTGCAGGAAAACAAGCTTTTTCCAAGTGTCAAATATTTTTACATCTTTGTGATAATACAGTATGTTAATTGCACAGGGTTGGCTGGACAAGAACATAAAGCAATCTCAGGGTGTGTAGATGGTGCATAAAAGGGATGGGCCCAAGTTCATTTAGCAGAGTGAGAATCTTTGGAGGAGGGAGTACTTGTGCCGGGGGTTGTTCTACACCTTAGCTGTAAGGTGGTCAGATTGTTGGCAAAGGTAATTAATAAGCTTTAGGAGGACGATTTCAACCGAAAGAGAGTGCGTGTTATGGTATACATAGGTCATATCCACAGCCTGCTATGGTTCTTGTGGTGTCATGAGGGACTAAAGGCAAGGAAAATGAATGGGAGTATTGAGTATCTAAGGGCAAGAGCAGGAGGAAAATGAGATTCTGTTGCTTGGAGCAATGCCTGTATACAGCAAGGTTTAATCTAAATGGGTAATTGTCATGGCTATAGGACTAGAAATAAAAAAAGCAACTGTGTTTATGTCAGTATAAGTAGGTGACCAGCCTCTGGTAGGTGAGGAATTGAAATGCTTTGTTTGGGAACATAAGATGAGGACCAAGCTTGTGATGAATTAAAAAATGACATGTATCCTCCTCATAGCAGTAGAAAGATCTCAGAAAAATACTCATACCACTGCTCTTTGAATATGGGTTACCGTTTTAAGTTTGTTTTACTGTGAAAGTTTTCCACTCTGTAGGTATTTATTACTAAATATTTATGGATCACCTTTTAGGAGCATGTTGAAAGTTTATAAAAATCCGTCACTGTGGTAGAATGTGCAGTAATATAAGCACACACGTTATAATCTCTGACAATCCCAGGGAAATACTGAAACATCCGTAATTGTAACTTCTAATATGGATAAAAATTTAAGAGCACTGATTCTAGTTAATTTATGTTTAGGTCATCTTCGCTGCAATGAGTATGATAGTCTGAGATCAAGGTGGCTGAAGCAGACACTAGAATCCTTCATCCCAGAGCCCCTGATGAATTTAATTACTCTCTCTGAACTGGATGGGAGACAGATGGGAGATCTCTATCCTGAATTGTACGACAAGGTAGAACCATTATGTATTGACAGGCTGATGGAATTAAAATGATACTTTTATTGTTCTGTTCCTTCCTTTCCTACTGTAACCTGTAATCTGTAGCTGTTTGACCATGTCCCGTGAAATGCTCATGAAGGGAAGATGAAACTTTTTATTTTAATGTTAAAACTTATTCTCCATTTGATGGTCCTTCTGATTTGTCTGGGAGGAGTCTACTGAGTTGACCAGATGTTTTCTGCATACCTTAAACTTTGAACTGTTGAGACTTCGTGCATGTGTGTTTGAGCATACGTTACATGGTGTTGCTTATTGACTCATCACATTGAATTATGAATAGTGCACAGCAGTTAGTACTCTGTAACATTTAAATAGGTGAATAAGCAAGGGAGATCAAGGGTGGGAGCTATTCAGGTGATAATTATAATAATGTTCATGGTGCAGTAAATAGGGTGTGGTTGGTCTCAGAAATGCACAAAAACAGTAAAATGTTTTAAACTGGTTGTTTCTTCACGCTTCTAAAATGCAAAAAATGATGCTGTAAATTTTCTACAGAAATTATATTCCAATACTTTCGAATAGGATGCATTGCACAGATAGTTAACTTCTTTACAGGTAATACTTTTGTTCATTCTTTTACTCATTGGCTGTACAGGTACTGCTGGATGCTCCGTGTTCAAATGACAGAAGTTGGTTATTCTCTTCTGATATTCAGCAGGCTACACTTAGACTCATCCAAAGGAAGGAGTTGTCTGCTCTACAGGTTCAGCTATTAAGGTGAGAAGTGGAAAGAAAAGCTGTTAAAGAAGCTTTCTTGTGATTAAATTAAATAATATTGTGGCAAGATTCGGTATGTGTAACAACCAAATCCAAGTTTCATGTACAGTACTCCTCCTACTCTGTAAGTGCAGAATGTGCTACAGTCTGTAATATTGTTAAATTTTAAAGTTCAATAAGAGTTAATGTAGAATCATTTAAATGTAGAACTGCAATACAAACACCAGGGTCCAAATTATCAACTGACGTACAGTCCGTGCCATTCTATTGACTTCATTAAGAGTGCATCTTCATTTAATACTTGCCTCATTTGCAGAATGATTCAAAACACTCTGCTATGATACAGAAACAAACACAGAGGGAGCACCTAAAAAGTTCATTGTGGCTTTAGAGGTATTTTTGATTCTGGCCGTATTCCCCGTTTTAAGCAGAGGTTTAAGTATGGTTTATAATTGTTTTTAAAAACCATTTTATAATGCCTGCTTACCCGGCAAGAATCCATGTCCACTTTCAGTGAAGTGGTCTGAATCCATGTCCAATCGTGGAAATTCTGATCAGGCATTTTTCTCTGTTACTTTTCAGCAGAATTATCACTTGAAGTTCACTTTTAGGCTAATTTGATGACAAACATGCCAGTCAGTGATGGTTACCACTAGAGTTGTCACACTAGATCTCTGATTGTTCTGCCTCTCTGTTTGTGTTATTTGGACTGTTTCCAGGAGGAGCATAAGGGCCCAGTGTTGTCCACACTTACATACACGAACTCAGTAGGTTTACCCATGTGAGCGCATGTGTTTGTAGGCTTGAACCATAAGTTTTTAGCTTGTCTGCTGCTGCTGTGGAATTGTTATAGCTTTGCAGGGTTTGAGGCACATGCCTATAAATAAGAGGTTAAACAGCAATACAAATTGTAGTGTTTATGTAAAAATTTGCAATTTAATCGAAATCAGGCTTGCTATACATTTTACTTGAAAAGGAATTTCATTCCTCTACAAGGTTATATAGGCCAGCAGTATAGAAAACTGAAGCCCTTTCTTTATCCAGAGCATGAGAAACAGCAATGCAAGCTTCCCCACAATACCTGTGATACATGGGGTAGAGAGTAGCTCCCTTTGATGGACACCTAGCCGGCCAGTTAGCTGTAAAATCCCTCTTGGTCTGTTCTCTGCTTGCTTTACTTGTAAAGGGTTAACAAGCCCACAGGTTATAGAAAAGTAGTGGGCACCTGACCAAAAGAGCCAATGGGAAGGTAGAACTTTTTTAAAATTGGGAAAGAAACTTTCCCTTTGCTGTTCTCTGGGCTTCAGGGACATGGAGCAGTAATGCTGTAAGCAGCTTTAAGCCAGTTATGATTATAGATCAGAGGTGGGCAAACTACGGCCCGCGGGTCACATGTGGCCCGCGGGACCATCCTGCCTGGCCCCTGAACTCCTGGCCTGGGAGGCTTGTCCCCAGCCCCTCCCCCACCGTCCCCCCTCCCCTGCAGCCATGCCGCCCTGCGGTGCAATGCTCTGGGCAGGGGGGCTGCCGAGCCCAGCCTGACCGATACTCTGTGCTGCATGGCGCGGCTGCCTGTCCTGGTGCTCCAGGCAGCATGGCAAGGGGGCAGGGAGCAGCACGGGGGGGTTGGATAGAGGGCAGGGGGTGGTCAGGGGCGTGGATAGGGGTCGGGGCACTCAGAGGGTGGGGAACGGGAGTTGAATGGGGGCAGGGGTCCCGGGGAGGCAGTCAAGAAGGAGAGGAGGGGTTGGATGGGGCGGCGGGGGGCCGTCAGGGGACAGGGAGTGGAGGGTGTGTATGGGGCAGGGGTCCAGGAGGGGGCAGTCAGGAAGGAGGGGGGGGTTGAATGGGGTGGTGGGGGGCAGTTAAGGCGGGGAGTCCGGGGGCTGTCAGGGGGCGAGAAGCAGTGTGCCCTTGTTGCCAAGAAGGCCAATGGCATTTTGGGATGTATAAGTAGGGGCATAGCGAGCAGATCGAGGGACGTGATCGTTCCCCTCTATTCGACATTGGTGAGGCCTCATCTGGAGTACTGTGTCCAGTTTTGGGCCCCACACTTCAAGAAGGATGTGGATAAATTGGAGAGAGTCCAGCGAAGGGCAACAAAAATGATTAGGGGTCTGGAACATATGAGTTATGAGGAGAGGCTGAGGGAGCTGGGATTGTTTAGCCTGCAGAAGAGAAGAATGAGGGGGGATTTGATAGCTGTTTTCAACTACCTGAAAGGGGGTTCCAAAGAGGATGGCTCTAGACTGTTCTCAATGGTAGGAGATGACAGAACGAGGAGTAATGGTCTCAAGTTACAGTGGGGGAGGTTTAGATTGGATATTAGGAAAAACTTTTTCACTAAGAGGGTAGTGAAACACTGGAATGCGTTACCTAGGGAGGTGGTAGAATCTCCTTCCTTAGAGGTTTTTAAGGTCAGGCTTGACAAAGCCCTGGCTGGGATGATTTAACTGGGAATTGGTCCTGCTTTGAGCAGGGGGTTGGACTAGATGACCTTCTGGGGTCCCTTCCAACCCTTATATTCTATGATTCTATGATTCTATGATTCTAAGCGTGGGGGTCGGGTAGGGGGCAGGGGCTGGGCCATGCCTGTCTGTTTGGGGAGGCACAGCCTCCCCTAACCAGCCCTCCATACAATTTCAGAAACCCGATGTGGCCCACAGGCCAAAAAGTTTGCCTGCCCCTGTTATAGATTATCAATTTATACCTGGAACCTACTTAGCTGGAGCCGCCGATATGTAAGAAAATTAGGAAATGTCTAAAAAGATGCGATTAGGGTTATTTCTTATTGGCTTGTGGATTCCTCTGTGCTAACCCCAGATGCTTTTGTTTGGTTGTAACCTTTAAACTGAACCCCCAAGAAAGCTATTTTGGGTGCTTGACTTTTGGAATTGCTCTTTTAAAATCTAGCAAAAGCCTAAGTTCCAGATGTATTTTCTTTCTTTCTGTTTTTAATAAAATTCACCCTTTTTAGGAACAGGATTGGATTTTTGGTGTCCTAAGAGATTTGTGCATATGCTGTTTGATTAGCTGGTGGTAACAGCTAATTTCCTTTGTTGTCTTTCTCAGCTCTTCCCCGGAGGTGTGTGTGTGTGTGTGTGTGAAAGGGCTTGAAGGTACCCCACAGGGAGGAATTCCCAAATGCTCCTTCCTGAGTCCAAGGGATTTTTTGGGTGGTGACAGCGTTTACCAAGCCCAGGCCAGAGAAAAGCTGTAACCTTGGGAGTTTAATACAAGCCCGGAGTGGCAAGTGTTAATTTTTAGAATCCTTGCGGGCCCCCACTTTCTGCACTCGGAGTGACAGAGTGGGGATTCAGCCTTGACAATACCTTTCAGATTTGGTTTGACTATATTTTGTTGAAAAAGGAATAGTCCTGAAAGTTTATTATTTTAGCAGCAATTTAGTTTTTGCCTCCAACCACATGAAAATTAATATTTTTTCCTATTGGTTTACTATTAATACAACTGTTGTCCTTGTATATGTGTGTTAGAAAATAATTTTTAAAAGATTAAACGAACAATTAAATAATGCAATACAGTATAATAAAATGAACATGTTTTGGAGCTGGGTTAAAGAAGAATTATTTTTCTTTCCAAAAAATAGTTTCTGCAGCTGTGTATTGTTTTATAGCTATTGATCAAACACTAAACTTTTAAATGCGCACAATGATTCACTTCAGAAGTATCCAGCTATCAAGGCAAATTGAGAGAGGAATAAAGTAACGTTTTTTTTTTTTAAAGAGTGTTTTTTTATGGAAGGCTCCATAGGAACAGTGTAAGATACTTTTGCATGACTTCCAGAGAAAAAAGGCCTTCCAGAAACCTATGATTGATAACCGAAATATGAGTGTCTTATTGCAGTAATGCATCATGTCACCCATTTCCTTTGAAGAAATCAATCACATTTGAAACACTGACCTCCTTCGGTTTTCTCTTTTCAATATTTGACATGTAAAATCTAATTTGTGAACTTCTAGCAAAAGGAAGCATACATCATTCACTGAAATTTTCCAAATTTGTATAAATCATTCTGGATTATAATCCTGATGTAGAAAACTCTTGACAGCAGGAACCTGGTTTTTAAAAGCAAGCCAAAAAAGTGCCTGTCACCCCCAATTATATTGAATACAGTTATCCCTAAATCCAGAAGAGAAAAACATCACATCTGCTGAATGTGCAGTGAACTAGCCTCAAACAGTAGCAGCAACAAACATTTGGATTTGTGAGGACAATATATTTTTGATCTGTAACTTCCAGTAGAAAAATATTAATATATCTTTCCTTCCAATGGGCTCAATCAGACTGTAAATTCAACAACATATGCACTGTAATTTTTCACTTGTCTGGATTTTGGAATTTAGAGAGTAAATCATTTTTATTAGGCTCCTGTTGTCAGGGGCATGTCAAGGATTAAGAGCCTAATTCAGCAAGGTAGTTAAGCGTGTGCATAGTCTCAGTGAGTTCAGTAAATGGTTTAATAATGTTTTGGATTTCTATAGTATCTTTTATCTCAGGATGCTTTACAAACACTAATGAATTCTCACAACACCCCATCAAGAAAAAGGATGAAACAGTGTCAGGGAGAAGCTAAGTGACTTGTGCAAGGTGGGTCAGCAATTCAGTGGCAGCAATAATAAGAGAATACTGGTCTACTCATTGTCAATTACTTGTTCTGACAGCTTGTGTGTGACTAAGATTGTGGAACTGAGTTCAAATCCTGTCTCGATAGAGACTTTTCCATTGATCTTGAGCAAGTTGTTTAAAGTGTCTGCCTCAGTTTTCCAAATTGTAAAACAGGGATAAATACCTACCTGCTTCAGAGATTTTATTAGGATTAATTAGTTCTATGTAAAGGCTGAGCATTTACATTGTTTAGTGGTAATTATGAACTATAGAAGGAAAGAGAATAATAATAAAATGGATGAAATGCAAATGAAATAAATTAATACTGTGAGATCAAATTTGGCCCAAAATTTGTGATTTTTTTTTAAATCAAC